TGCTGTCCAGCAGGGAGACCTGAGGTGGGTGGGGGGAGAGAAGGACATCCAGAAGCCGCCTCAAACCCTGAGCAGATCTCGCCTAGAAGGTCTCGCCTGGAGAGCTGAGCAGAGTCCTGGGGTTCAGCTCTTGCGGAATTTGGAGGAATGTGGGAGCAGTAACATCCCCCCCACAGAGCAGGTCAGAAGGGTGCGGGGTGGGGTCTCTTGCTGTCCATGTGCAAACAGGGCTAGGCAGCCCCTCTGTTGAGGTGGCCTTCACTCATATGCTGGTCTCTGTGGATCCTGCCCCTCCCACATTTTCCATAGGGACCCTGTCCAGCTTCCTTGCTTCTCCCCCCCACAGGTAGAACCTCAAGCCGTTCTTCTGATGAGTCCCCCTCCTTGGTGTATTTTGGGGGGGTGGGTGAGCTTGTGGAAGAGGCAGCTGCCCTTCCTGAGGTATTTTGTGGGTCTTCTCCAGCAGTTCTGACCTGCTTCTCCTCCTCTTGGTGGTCCTGGCTGGGCACCTTTCTGACTCCTGCCCCTTTTCCTTGCAGGTGGCCCACCCGCTGGTCCAGAAGCAGTTGGTGGATTATATCCACAATGGATTCCTGGTGCCAGTTATGGGCCCAGCTTTGCACAAGGTGAGGATGAGCCTCCTCTCCCTTTCGAAAGAGGGCTGGTGCCACCTGGACAAATTGCCTCGCACGGTCTTTGATTCCTGGCGGCAGGAGGGCAGGGCTGCCTTTGGCTGGGCACCTAAGGGGTGTGATGAGGCACCCAGAGATTCTGCCACAGACGAGCCATCGTAGGGTGGTGGTGCCAGCGCCCAAGCTCCAGGGGGGCGGTGCCTTTGCTGAGGTCCCTCTGTCTGCCAGACGTCCATAGAAGAGATGATTGCCAGCACAGCCTACCTGGACCTCTTCCTGCGCAGCATCAGTGAGACGGCCCTGCTGAAGACCTTCCTGTGCTTCCTGCTGCTCCACCACCATGACAGCAGCACCATCCTGGACACACTGGTGGCACGGATCGCCAGCAATTCCCGGGTGAGGTGACCAGCCTGGCATGGGCACCGGGGGGGGGCACACGAGGGAGGCCGGGAGGAACACGGGAAGGCTGAAAACAGACATTCCTCACCCCCAAGTCAGTCTCCAGAAGAGAGAGACCCCCTTCACCTCCCCTACACCCCTCGAGGAGCAGCAGTTTGGCTTGCCAGGACGGCTTCCTAGCTCAGGGTTGCAGGAAGGCCCACCCTGACTGGGGTGGTAGTGGCTTGGGGCCTTTACCTAGTTCAGTGGGGGGGGGGAGGAACTCATGGGGGGGGGAGGCGCTTCCTCTAATTCTGCCCCTTCCTCTTGTTCCACCAGCTCTGCATGGTCTCCCTTAGCCTCTTCCGGACGCTGATCGGCCTGCACTGTGAGGATGTCCTGCTGCAGCTGGTGCTGAGGTACTGGGGATTCCTTGCAGGGGAGAATCCCCCTCCAGGGGACACCTCCCTCCCCCCCCCATGAAGGGCTTGCTTTGCCCAGGAGGCCAGACCTGTTGCCCAGCAAGGGTGGGGCAGAGAGGTCTTCTTTGGGTGGAAGGGGAAGTGAATGGCTCCCCAGCAGTGCTGAAGCCAGACGAGGAAGGTCTGCCGGAGGTGGGGGGGGGGGGAATCACCCCCTTTAGAACAGCTGCCCAGGCACCCCTTCCTTTGCTTGGCATCTCTGGAAGAGGAGCTCCCCCTAGTGGGTCCCTAAGCACCCTGCAGATTCTTCACTCACCAGCCGCTGTCCCCCCTCCCCAGGTACCTGATCCCCTGCAGCCACGTCATGCTAAGCCAGAAGAGAGCGGTCAAGGAGCTGGACCTGTATGGCAAGGCTGCTGCCAAGTTCCTCTCGCTGATCCCTCGCTGCTGCTGCCCAGAGAGCCTGCCCACCCCTGAACAGGAGGAGGAACGGGCAGCCTGGTCCAAGGGTGAGGCTGGGGTGTGTCCCAGAGAAGGCTGCGGGTGGCGGGGACAGCCTACCTGAAAGGGCTTCCTTCTCCTGGGACTCTTCCTGTGCACGCAGAGCACCTCCTGTTGAGGACGGGGCACTGTCTGGAGCACCTCTGGGATCTTGGTTGACCCTCCTCCTCCATGTCCCCAGGCCAAGGCAGCCCCAGCGTGGACTCTTCCTCCGTGGTGACCGTCCCCAGGCCCTCCACGCCGTCTCGCATCTCCTTCTTCACTCGCCAGTCTAGCTTTAGCATGGAGGCCCCAAGTGCTACCCCCCACTCTCCAGGGACGCCCACGGGCAGCCCTGGTCACCGTCCCGGCAGGTGGGAGGAGGTCTCGGAGCTGGAAGGGAACTACCTGGAATACCTGCGGGATGCACGGCTCAACATTGACCTCTGCGTCCGTGCCTGTCGCGTCTGGTCAGCCCCCTACGATGGGGAGGAGCCCAATGCGGTCAGCTTAGCTCCTCCTCCAGGTGCCTCCTCGGCAGCCAACGCGTCCATCCATCCCAGGGGGCCCCCGCCAGACCCTGCACCTGCCTCCCCTCGGACTAAAAAGCGGGGGGCGAGCCTAGAAGGGGCCCTTGCTGGTCTGCCACCCAGCACTGCCCCACCTGCGGACACCAAAGACAAGCACTCTCTGCTTAATGGGGCCCATGTGGACGCTGGCATCAAGAAGGTCCGCTGGTGCCCCCCGGAGGGCCTCTTGGAGAACGGGTCAGCCCCGTCACCCAACCTTTGGGAAGGTGCCTCCTGCCTGGACTTGCTTGCGGACGAGGGGCTGAGCCAGGCCCCTCTGGAGAACGGGGGGCCGGTGACGGTTGAGGACTTCCACCGGGAACTGTGTCAGCTGCAGGACGAGATGGCCAATGGGGGCCGAACTGAGGAAGACCCTGGCTCGGCCCCCCCACCCGGGCCTGAACCACTTTCCCGGGAGGAAGAGGAAGCTTACCACCGCTTTTCCTCCTGCCCCGAGGGCTTGGCCCCCACCCCACCCGCTGACCCCCTGTCCCAGATCATCAGCAGCCCCCCCCGGGCCTCGGGGCAGCCTCCTAGCCAGCCATTCACAGGTGAGTTTCTTACCCCAGGACCCCCGGGTGCAGTTTTCCCGCCTTGTACTGTCCGTTGGCATCCCAAGAAAGAATCTTGCAAATCTTTGGGAAGTTCATTTCTTAAATGGCCCTTGTAATGGAAGCTGCTGCCTGGTTATTTGGGCAGACAACGGGGGTTTTCTGGGTTGCCAGCAATGGGCAGCAGGATCACGGTGGTTCTAGGCCCGTGTGGGAGAGGGAAGGGGAGGGGTCCTTCCCATTTCAGGCTGGCTCTCGGGTCCAGTATAGGCCAGCCAAGAGGCAGGATGGGTCCCCTTCCTACCCCTGGGATGGCCTGCGCAGCAGCCCAGGGCCTGGGGTGGGCCCATGCCTCAGTCCACCCGCCTGATGGCCACCCGTGTCCGCAGGCCCCTTCCTGGCCATCCTGCTGGCCAAGCTGGAGAATATGCTGCAGAACTCACTCTACGTGAACTTCCTGCTGACGGGGCTGCTGGCTCAGCTCGCCTGCTACCCGCAGCCCCTCCTGCGCTCCTTCCTGCTCAACACCAACATGGTCTTCCAGCCCAGCGTCAAGTCCCTCCTCCAGGTAGCCCTGTGGCCAGTGGGGAGGGGCGCCCCCCCGGCCCTCCCTGCAGAAGGTGGCTGAGGGCTGGCTTCTTCTCCCCCTCCGGCAGGTCCTGGGCTCCGTGAAGAACAAAATCGAGGGCTTTGCGGCCAGCCAGGAGGACTTCCCCTCGCTGCTCTTCAAGGCCAGGAAGTACCTGATTGCCCGGGCCAGGCCGGACGCCCCCGACGCCACCAACCCCCTGCCCCCATTGCGCCGCCCCGAGGCCCTCGGTGAGCAACGCTGGGCATGGTCGGGGATCTGCCCATGGGAGCTAGGCAAGGGGGAGAAAGGGCACCTGGGGATCGTTGGGTGTGGGTGGGAGGGGCTCCCCTGGGTTAGCTGTCGTTTGCTGTGTGTGTGTGTGTGTGTGTGTGTCGGGCCCGCGGGCCTTGGGGAAGCTCAGCCTTTGTCCACTGGCCATAAGGCTGCTGCCTGTCTTGACCCCTGCTCACTCTCCGCCAGTGAAAAGCCGGAAGCCCACCATCGGGGAGCTGATCATGCGCCACACCAACAGCCCCACGCGGGCCCGTCAGGCTGCCCAGCTGGCCCTGCAGCACGTGCGTGAAGGCCAGGTGATGCAGGCGCTCTCGGGCAGCTCCCTCTTCCGCAGCTCTGCCGAGAAGCAGAGCGAAGCGCTGCGGGTGAAGAACGCCGTCTACTGCGCAGTCATCTTCAGCGAGTTCCTCAAGGAGCTGGCGGCCATCGCCCAGGCCCACGCTGTCACCTCGCCCTTCCTGCTGGAGCCCCCCCCGGAGTGACATCCCCACCGACTCTCCTGCCCGGTTGGGGTGGGACATCCACAGGGAGGCCCCTCCCTTTTTAAAACTCCATACCAGGAAATGGACCTTTTTAATTTATTGGGAATGAATGTTTTTTCTGGAAAAAATTGTTTGTTGCAATATATATATATATATATATATATATATGTATATACATGAAGCTGCCTCTGCCCTCTGCGGTGTGTCTGAGGAGGAGCTGCCCCTTGCCCATCCAGATGTGGGCCTTGGGCGAGGAGGTTTCCATGGCCAGCACTTTCTCCGGCCCTTCTCCCTCTCTCTGCTCCCTGACCTCTGGGAGGGGCAGCTTAAGCCAAGACAGGGACCCTCTTGCTCCTTTGGGGGGACTCTTCATTTCCTACTGGTGGGCACCTCAAGTTCCCCAACAAGGCTTTGGGCAGCCGTGCTGTGGAAGCCCCCCCTCCCCCCCTTCAGTGCCAGGTCGCCAAGGATCCATGACGGGGCCCATCACAGGGCTGGGTTTCCTTGTCCTCTGGGGGCTGGAGGGGCCCTGGTGTCCGCCTTTGAAGAAAAAGCCCCTGCCTGTCTGGAAAACAGCCCCCCTTCTCCCCCACCCCACCCAGGTCAGGGTCTGGGCATTGCTACATGCGAAAAAAGGTGATTTATTACTGGGTGGGGAGGAGCTGCCATCCAGGTCACTCTTCCGTGTCGCTCTCGGCGGCCGCGATGCTCTGCAGAAGGGGCAGGGACATGCAGTGCCTCTCGGGGTCGGCCAGGCTGCCACAGGAGAACCCCAGCTTGGGCCGTCGCTGCTTGAAGGGCCATTTCCCTGTGGGGATGCAGAACAAGGAGGGGGGCGGGGTCATGGTAGGAGTTCCCCAGGGAAAAACTGCCCTGAGTTTCCCCCCTCCTGAGAATCCCAAATCCTCCTCTGCCAATCTGAGTCTGGAGGTTATTCTCCCAAGCTTCCTCCTCCTCATTTCTCCTCTTTGTCCTCCCCTCTGCAAACCTCACACTGCCTTCTAGCACTGAAATGTTTGCAAGAAAACGAGATCACCTACAATCCACAATCCTCCTCCTCCTCTACTTCTACTGCTACATGCAGATGGGTGGGGATGGGCATCTCTCCAGGGAAGGCAGGGAGTGAGCCAGGAGGCCTTGCTCTCTGGTGGGGCTAGAAGAGGCCCTTTGGGCTCCAGAGAGACCCCCCCAGTGGGAGGGAAGGGGAGGTGCGGCCCTTTGCCTGGCACCCCAGAGGAGGAGAGCCTGCCGTGAAAGCTGGTTGAAGCCCTCCTTGGTTCTAGGGAAAAACAGGAGCGGGAGAGGGAAGCCCAGTGACTCCATCCCTGCTTTGGGGGAGAAGGCAACGTTTCCCCCCCCACATTTCCTCACCTGTCATTGTCCGCAGAGGCCTGCCCAGGGCCCTCCATCGCTTGCGCAGGGCAATGCTCTCTCTGGGCAGGGGGGCCTCCAGAGCCCTGGCTGGGGGGGAGGCCTCCAGCATGGCCATCCTCACCCAGGCCGCCCTGGCAGGCAGGCTATGGCCCATGGGCTTCTGGGAGCCCAGCACGCCTTTGTGGCTGAGGGCGAACTTGAGGCAGGAGAAGGCCACGGGGAGGGGCTGCTCCTGGACGAAGTGCCGGTGCTCAGCCTCCTGGGTGACGGCCAGGGAGAGGCTGCCGGCGTAGAAGACCTCGTGCACCACGTAGAGGCTGCTCTGGGAGCGCAGCCAGGGCAGGTCGGGGCGCAGGGCCACCATCCCGGGACGCAGGGCCAAGAAGGCCACCTTCTTATGGACACCGACCATGCAGAGGCGGATGTGGCGCAGGGCCCCATCCACCAGCCGTGTCTCCTCATAGCGGGACTCGCCCCTCACCCGGGCACTGTACTCGCGGGTGCAGTGGGTCAGCTCCCTCGGGGCGGGCCCCCCAGGCAGCAGGCTTTCCAGGGGCCCAATGGGCACCAGGCAGCTCTGCCTGCGCAGGAGGGTCTGCCCCAGTTGTGCTTTCTTGATCAGCACCGTCAGGAGGTCATAGGAGGTGGCATCTTCCAGGAAGGGCACCGGCACCACGGTGGGCCCGAAGCGCTCCTCGATGACCTGTGGGGAGACAGAGGGGGAGGGCGTCACAGGGAGCGTGGCCCTCCCTGCCTTTGGGGAGGAGAAGTGTTGCTCCACCTCTTCCGTGTGCGCGCTGGAAGAGAAGGCCAAGGTGCAGGCCCTGGACCCAGATGGGGAGGGAGGGGGCCACAAAGGTTAGGGGGTGTGAGGGGCAGTGGGAAAGATATCACCGCTCTGTCCATTTCAAGAGAATCTGAAACCTCTCGGGGAGCTGGTGGGCCCCCTCCCCTGTTTTTCAGCAGGAACAGGGATGCTGGGATTCTGCTTCTTCCTCTCTAGCTTGCTGGAGGCAGTTGTGGCCTGTCCTCTGCGGAGTTTTTGAACCTCACGGACTGGCCAAGTGGATTTTCCAACAGATGTTTGGGCTGTTGAGAGCTCCCATGATTTCCCGAGAGAAAGCTCTGTCATCTGCTCCAGCCGGGGCGGCACTTTCCAGATCTTCTCAACCACCTCTAGAAAGATCCCTCTGCATTTTCCTCTCTTGCATCCTTATCCCGGTGCCCTTGCCTGGACCCATGTGCCAGAGGCCGACATACATGCTAGCCTTTCTGTGCCCTTTAGAGAGAGTTTGGCATCCCTGGGACACGCAACTGGACTCTTCTCGTCCTGTATTTACATGCCTGTCTCTGGGAGCCTCCAGCCCTGCCCCACCTCTCAAAGCGCAGCCCCAGACTTGGTCTCCTGCTCTTCTCCAGGCACCCTTCTCCCTCTCTACAGGATTCAGCTCAGAGCCTTCCCGGTTCCCACCATGCCCAACCCTTCTTTGCCAGGTGCTGGGTCACATCCTTTGTAAACCCTCCCCCCCCCCCCGTGTATTTCCAGTCCTCCCACCTTCTGCCAGCCCTTCATCGCCCCTCGCAGGGTCCCCAAGGCATGTTTCTTCCTGGGAGGATCAGCAGGAAAGGGTCTCCGTCTTCTTCAAAGGCCTCCAAGAAGGCTCACATCTCACCTGATAGACCAGTGTTTCTCACCCTTGGAGATGTGTGGACTTCAATTCCCAGAATTCTACAGCCAGCAGGAATTCTGGAAGTCAAAGTCCCCTCTTCTTAACAAACACCTTGATAGGCTGTCTGGGTGATGGGCTACCGGGAGGAGACTCCAGCCCCCCAGCCCCTCTCCTCCCTGCCTGCTTAGTGCCTGTGCAGAATCCTGGTTTTGTCTTCAGAATGGAAAAGAGCCCATCGGCTGCAGGAGCCAAGAGCCGTTCCCTCCCTCGGTCCCCACCTCCTCCTTGGCGGCAGCGGCAGCAGCAGCCATGGGTGCACTTCGGAGCCCTGCCAAGTCTCTCCGGTTTGCTCTTGCAGATCAATTGCTCATGCTACTTGTGGAGAGTCCCTTCTCCAGTAAGGGACCTGTGTGTGTGTGTGTGCACGTGTGTCAGCATCTCTTATCCAATCTGGCTTTAATGGTACAAACACATCTACCCAGTTTTCTTGGCAACAATTCCAGTCTGGAGGCAGCTTCCAATTGTCTTATTCCAGGCAGGATTTGGAATTTTCCCTCTTGGGTGGATCATCGTTCCTCACCTCTGCAGAATCCACCCAGGTTAAGGTTGAGCTATGGGCTACTTCCCGCTGGTCGGGCTTGAAAGTCATCCGCTGTTGATCCGGGCCCCTGACTGGTGATCAGGCAGGAGCAGCAGCCAGATCAGCTTGGCCTGGAGAAATGATCTTCCTGCGGGATCCAATCCGGGTCGGTCACCAGGACCAGAGGTTCAGTCTTCTGAGCTTTTGGACTCATGCTGGAGCCCCTCCTCAGGAAACTCGTCTCTAGCAGAGGCTGAGCTCTGGGCTGTTCCATGCACTTATGTGGTACCTAGTTGTGTGTGGCTTTTTAGATGTTGATTGAAAAGCCACACACAACAGGCACCATGTAAATACCACAGAGAATAGCCCAAAGCACACCCTCTGCTAGAGAGAAGTTCCCTGAGGAGGGGCTCCAGCATGAGCATTATCCTGGGTCACGTAGATTCAGTTTCATGAATGATCTCTTCCTCCCAGGCTGCCCCTGGAACTGCCACCTGCAGCTGCTGAGCCCCTACCCATCCAGGCCAAGGGGATGCAGGGGTCCTGCTCTGCCCCAGCTGCTGCTGCTCCTGACTCACATCCAGGCCGGACCCAAAGCCCTCCAGGGCAATCCCTCCAGAGTGCCAGCTCTGCCCTCTCACCTTGTCCCGGATCAGTTCCCAGTTAGCATCGGCCTCGCTGATCTTGAGACTTGGGGTCCCTCCGCTGTCCATCTTGCCTGCTGCAGAGCTGGCCTGTAAGGGGTCTGGGGTGTTTGTGGGGGGTGGGCCATAAGGGAAGCCAGGAGAGACGGGGGGGGACCCAGTTGGGGGGCTCCGGAGGAGAGTTTTCCCCCAGGGTCCTGGAGGCAGCAGGGCCAGGGCACCAGCACAGAAGCCCACCTGGCCTGTGAAGTCACAAAGGCTGCTCTGCTTGCATCATCTAGGCGGGAGGGGGAGGGGGAGGAAGCAGCACCCTTCCTCTGCCACGTGGGTGGGTGTGTCTGCGGCCACAAAGTCTGGGAAATGATGCAGAGGGAGAGCCAGCCCTGCAAGGTAGGACGAATGAGAAAACCGACTCCCCAAGACCAGGTGAAACTCTATTGATTGACATCGGCTTCAGTAACAGAATCTTGAATGCCTGACTGCATCAGCCCTTCCCTGCCTCTTGGGGGGAGGGGGGGCAGGTTTCCTTGCAGGGCTGCCATGCTGCGGCAAGCTCACTTGACCTCAAACAAGCATTATTTGACAATCCCCAGGAGGTAGCCGGCCAGTTCATCTCAGCTGGGAGTTCTGATCCCCTTCCTAAATCCCAGCAAATTCAGGGAAGCTCCCCCAGGCTCTCCGGCTCCCTTTTCCCCTCCCCTGTCTGCATGTGTGTGTCTGAAAGAGAGAGAGAGGGGGGGGGGGAAGGCTGCAATCTGCTCAGCAAGCCTCCAAGATGCGTGTGGATGGTTCTCTTTAGGATGAGGGATCCCCTCTTCCGAATGGCTAGGAAGAAACTTTTGGGAGCAGCCCCTTCTATAGGTATGGAGGTGCCAACCACGAGGCTTTAAATGTGACATCAAGAGCCAACAGAGCATCATTGCTCTGGTGGAGCAGTGGACTAAACTACTGTTAAAATAATATTTAGCTGCCAGCTGCCTGCAATTACTGCGAGTTCAAATCTCACCAGACTCAAGGTTGACTCAGCCTTCCATCTTTCTGAGGTAGGTAAAATGAGGACCGGATTGTGGGGGCAATAAACTGACTTTGTATAAAAAAGAACACCGCTTAGGGGGGCCCAAAAGCCCTACTAAGCAGATATATACAAAAGTATGAAGGCTATTGCTTAAAAGCATTGTAAGCCACCCTGAGTCTCCGGAGAAGGGCGGCATATATAAATCAAACTAATAAATAATAAATAAATTGCCAGTGGCACCTCTGGAAAGTGAGCTGCTACCATCTGGACCAGCTGCCCCTCCAGAATGGTCTTCAAGGGCAGCCCCACCTAGAGTGCTAGTCTAGGCCGGAGAGGAGTAAGGCACTGGTGTGTTTGACCTGGTCAGATTGACCAGCTGAATTGCGCCCATGCATGCCCAGCTGAGCTGCCTATCCTCTCCTCAGGCAGAGGCACTCCCCTGGGCCTTCCTCCCTGGCACACCAGGGGCCGCTCTGTGGTTCTGGCATTCAGCCGTGCCGGGATTAACTGGCGCAGCCGCTGTAGGGCTTGTGGGAGGCCAGCCTGCCCCACTGCTGCAGAAGAGGAGCAGTTGGGCACAGCTGCATTGAGAGCTGGCTGCCTTCCAGCAGGTTGTGTGGGTGGCATAAGGGACGCTGCTGCCACTCTTCTCTGGTTGCACCCACTGGCAGCCTTCAAAGCGCCTGTTGGCAGCCTCAGAGCCCCTCTGCTGACAGGGCTGGCTCTGGAAACGGCTCCCTTGCTTGCCCCCAGATGGCCTGGGCTCCCCCCCCCGACCCTCAGTAACCGTAGCCTGGGAGGCTTTGGCTGAAGGAAGGGCTCCCCACCCTCCTGCCCAAGGCCCAGAAGGAGGGAGGGACCTGGACGCCACCCTGGCAAGGCTGTTCCTTACTTGGCCCTTGAGGATGGCCTGTGTGCTGGTTTTGCCCACCCCTGCGGTGCACGGTTATCCCTGGGCGCCTGTGGAGATTCTCCATCGTGCATGGTTGGCCCGAAGGTGCTTTTCCCAGAGGTGATTTCCTTGGTTTTTCCTGGAAGACGTTTCGCTTCTCATCCACGTTCAGTTCTTCTGAAGCAGCTTCTTGGACGAGAGGTGAAAATGAAGAAAATTGCCTCTGGAAAAAGCACCTCTGGGATCTCCCCGTTTGGTTGCTGAGAGTCGGCAAGGACCGAGGCAGGCTAAGAACTGGCCACATTCAGCCTGCAATCACCAAAATCGTCCCCCGTCCACTGAAGCACGCATCCTGGGGGGCTGAAGCAGTTTAGGGGGTCCCAGGCAAAAGGCAAATGTGGGGTGGGGGAAAGGGGTTCCCCTGGGCGGACTCAGTCCCACTGTGTAAACAGCAGCCGAGCTTCTAGACCCCACAAAGTTGTTTGCTCAACTGTTGTGTAACAAAACAGCGCAAAGCATGGCTTACTCTTCCCTTGCGGCCAAACTTCTCCCTGATAGAATTACAGCACAGGACACCAGGAAGCTTTCAAAGGCAGCACTCGATGTTCTGGCAGGGCATGGACAATTCGGTGGGAGACGGGCCTGCCAGGAAACAGAATTCTACAATCCTAGAGCTGGAAGGGATCTTGGAGATCATCTGGCCTAACCCCATGTGTCCAGTCAAGTGCTTGATCCATCGTGGCCTTTCCGGCAGAGGACCGTTCGGCCTCAGTCCAGTGGCCTTTGGCAAGGAAGCAGCCAGGCAAAGCCGGTTGCATTGTCTGACCAGGTTGGCCTGCCTGACCCCTAGCCTGGAGCAGCTTCTTTGCGCCTTTCAGCCCCTGGCTGGACCCTGGCCTGGCCCGGGACAGGGCACCTGCTCCCCAGGCTCCCTTAACTGAGCCCCTGGAATGCACTGGCCTTTGCAGCACCTTCCGAAGGCTCCTGGGTGCTCGGTGGGTCTTTGCGTTGGGCGGATGCTGTGTGTGCGCAGAGGGGGCATGTCTGCCCACCTTCCCCACCCCATTCGGGTTCTCCTTTCCCCCAAGGACCCCCCCCCCACAGACAACATGACAGGAACACCAGTCGGCTGAAACCTTTATTGAGGTCTGCTCCTCCACATCTCTGAGTAGTAAAATGGCCCCCTTTCCCGCTGCTCCCCCCCCCCACAGCCAGGTCAGCAGGTGGGGTGATCGAGAGCACCCAAGGGCAGGGTCCTCCCTGGCAGTGCTGGTGCCAGGCTCTTCCGGACACTCAGGCGCTGTTCTCCCAAAAGGCAAAGTGCGAATAGCACCCAGCCCAAGGAGGGGGCAGGCGGGCCTCCCCCAGAGCAGCAGCTGCCGTGGGGACGTCCTGGTTGTCTTATGAGCCGCCAAGCACGAAGGCTCTGCTGCTGCCACAGAACCAGGCATGGGCATGGACATAGGCAGGTTTAGGCACCCAGCATTTTCTTCCCCTTGGGGCACCCCATAATTTCCACCCAGCAGAGCTCCAAGTGGTCGCCTGGGCTGTGATGGGAGCTGCTTCCCCACATCTGGAGATTGCTTGGGCAGAAAGCATCAGCAGGAGGAGCTTCACCCCCCCCATCCCTTTCAGATCACCCCCCCCCCGGAGGTAGTCAAGTTTAAGGGCCTCGTGGTCAGAGACCCCAGGGACACAGCAGGTCTCTGGCTGGCTGGCTTTCCACCCGCTGGAGAAGGAAAGCATCAGGGGCCTTCCTCCCTCCCTCTCCTTCCTTCCTTCCTTCCCAGCAGATGTTCAAAGACACTCTGGGCCAGAGTCAGCAGCTGAATTCACACGAGGCCACAGATCAGTGTAAAAGGCCTGGGTGATGTGTGATCCAGCACACTGTGCGAACAAGGGCATCATCTTAACCCGTAATGGTGGTTCTTTTGTGCATAGAGGTTGTGTGCACGTAGGCACTGTGTGGTGCGCCAGCTTTATGGTTAGCCTATGTGCAGAAAGCCAGCCAGGGCCAGCTGGGGGTCACTGGCCCCTTTTCCCAGGGGGAGGCTCTCAGCTGCCCAGAGGAAAATGACCCCCCACATGGCCATGGAGCAGGGGATGCCTCTGACACCACTGTGGCACTTCTGCCCCCCCTTCTTGGATGGGGCCCCCCTTTCCAAAGCTGGAGCAGGTCTTGGGGTGGGCACCGGAGGTCCTAAAGTGGACCCCCCGCAGCATTCCGAGCCTTGTACGTCAAAGCCCTCCGCACCGAGGACTGCACCTCTTGCCGACCAGCCCCACCGGCCTTGCCCCCCTCTCCAGATCAAAGGGGAGTTTCCTGCTTGTAGTGATAGCCGCAAGTGGGGCCCTCGAACTGCAGCTTGATGGCTGCCTTCCGGTGCAGGTGGGGAGACAGCGTGTCAGTGGAGATCAGACCCCCCCTGGGTTCCTTGCTAGGCTTGTCCTGAGCTGGATATGGCAGAAGGGCTAAGGGGCCTGGCTGGGGCCGATAGGGTGGGGAGTACTGGGGCATCTGTTGTGCCCCAGAGAGTGAGTCCAATGGAACTATTTGGGGGGTGGCAGCAAGGGAGTGAAAAATGGACATTGTGGCTGAAGAGCCACGGGAGGCCTGTGCATCATCGGTGGAGCCCAGCCAGGCTGCAGGAGATTTGCCTCCCCTGCCTTGGGGGACAAGGCTGCTGGCCGAGCTGCTGGGAGAGCCCAGCTGGGGAGAAGCCGGCCCCGGCCAGGCCCCGTAACCTTCCATCAGCCTCAGCACAACCTGCTGGCCCCGCTTGGCTGCCAGCCATCTCGGGGAGCGGCCTGCCTTGTCCCGGACATCAGGGCTGGCCCCGTGCTCCAGTAAAACCCTCACCACATCAGCCCAGCCTTCCTGTGCAGCCACGCCCAGAGCAGTGGCCCCTTGGCTGCAACTGTGGTTGGGCCGTGCCCCCCTCTCCAGCAACAGGTGCGCGATGCTCCCGTGGCCCTGCCAGGCAGCCAGGTGCAAGGCCGAGCGGCATTCCTTGTCGAGGGCATCCACGTCTGCTCCGTAGCTCAGCAGCAGCTGGGTGGCCTCAACCTGCCCCTGCCAGCAGGTGACGTGCAATGCAGTGCGGCCTTGGGCATCCCGCCCCTCCAGCCTAGCCCCATGCTCCAGTAACAATTCGGCCATCTCCACACAGCCCTCCAGCATCAGCAGGTACAGCATGGGCCGACCCTCAGAGTCAGACAAGTTCACCTCTGCCCCCTTGCGCAGAAGCAGTTCAGCGGTGCTGTGGTGTCCGGCCAGCATAGCCAGAGACAAGGCCGAGAGCCCATCGTAACCCTGGTGGTCGATGGGGGAGCGGTGCTCGAGCAGGAGCTGCACAGCATCCATGTGTCCTTCCTGTGCTGCCAGCATTAGTGGGACGTGGCCGTCCCGGTTCGGCTCACCTACACGGGCTCCAGCCTCCAAAAGAGCTGCACATGTCCTGTGGTGGCCCTGCCAAGCTGCCAAGTGCAGTGGGGCCCAGCCCAGCCCATCTGGGTGGTTTTCATCCAAGCCCCGCTTGAGCAGAGCCTGGACAACGGCTTCGCTGCCTTGTCCAGCTGCAACACCCAGAGCAGTCCGGCCTTCACTGTCTAGGATGTCAATGGCTGCCCCCCAAAGCATCAAAGTCTCTACCGCCGCCCGATGGCCCATGGAGGAAGCAGCCAAGAGTGGGGTGCAGCCTCTGGAATCAGCCTGGTCCACTTCTGCCCCTGCTTCCAGCAAGAGCTCCACGACATCCACGTGGCCTTCGTAGGCAGCTACCAGCAAGGGAGTCACATTGTCCCGGTCGGCATGTCCTGGAGAAGCACCGTGATCTAAGAGAAGCTCTACGACTTTGGCACAGCCATGGCTCACTGGAATGCACAAAGCGGCCACAGAAAGGGCCGTCCGCCCATCCATATCAGCGTGGTCGACATGAGCCCCATGGCTCAGCAACAGAGCCACAATCCCTCTGTGCCCCATGTAGGCAGCAGCAATCAGTGGCGTGCGCCCCTCAGAGTCAGCCTGGTTGACATCTGCTCCATGCGCCAACAGAGTGGCCACAATGTCCTCATGGCCACCCCAGGCAGCGGCCCTCAGTGCTGTTCTCCCCTCTGTATCGGCACAATCAACACTGGCGCCAGCTTGCAGCAGAATGCCAATGGCCTCGCTGTGACCACCCCAGGCAGCCGCACGCAGCGCTGTCCAACCTTTGTGATCCGCACAATCGACCTTGGCGCCGTGGGCCAGCAGGCAAAGCAGGGCCTTTGTGTGTCCTTGGCGAGCAGCCAAGGTCATGGGGGTCTGTCCGTGGTGATCAGGGGCTTCTAGCTGCGCACCGTGAGTCAAGAGCAGCCCCACTACTTCATGGTTGCCACTGTGGGAGGCACTAGCCAGCCACGTGCGCCCGTCCACATCCCGCTGGTTAACGCTGGTGCCGTTTTCTAGTAGCAGCCGCACAGAATCCTCCCGCTCCAAGGCATGGTGTAGGGAGGGGGCTGGCCCTTGCTCCCCCAGGCGAGCGCCTGCCAGCACCAGCAGCTCGAGCACTGCTGGCTCCAAGGGCACCAGCAGTTCTGGCCCTAAGCAGCACTCCACAGGCACCCGGCACCACACCAGCCACAGTGCCAGCTGCCAGGCCTCAAGGTCGAGCTCGGAAGCCAGCAAGTGCCGGGCCAGATCAATCACCTCCTCTGGGCTTAGTTCTGGTGCCCGGCAGAAGGCACTCATGGCAAGCAGGAAGTGCCCTCGGGCTGGGCAACAGTGGTACTTCCATGTACAATGCTTGATGTCACAAAGCCACTCGGCAAAGCTGACGTGGAAGAACATGCAGGTACCCCCTGGGCCCTTCTGAAGGAACCCTGCCAAGGTTGCCAGGTGGTCCTGAAAGCTCTCCTGAACCACCGGATGGCATGTCCAGATGGCAGCATGAAGCTCACGAGGCGTCAGTGGGCGAGGGGCTGCCAGAAGGGCCTCTAGCAGAGGGCGGATCAGGGCAAACTGGTTGTGTGGGAAGAGGTGCTGGCAGAGCCACAGGTACAGTCCAGACAGCGTCCCTGGGATGTGACGGACCTCTTGCGGGGGGACCAACTCTTCCATCACCCTGTCTAATATCTGTTCCAGGTAGAGCAGGCAGCCGTTGCTCTTTAGGTGAAGCTGGGTCAGGGCTCCTGTCATGTCCTGGGTGAAGCGCCGCTGGAGAGCCTCCTCCCGGTCCAGCCGGGCGAGAATGTAATGTTGCACATCACAGATGACAGGTTCCCTCTGGAGGTCATCGAGGCATAGTTGTCGGAATCCTGCAGTGGAAGAAGCTGGATAAGACAATGGCCTGCCCCACACTGGCTCCCTCTCATGCGGGCAGAGGGCCATAGGCCCTAGCAAGCAAACAGTGCCCAGCATCAACATGCCAACCAGTGGTGGGATTCAGCCAGTTCGCATCACTTTGGGAGAACCGGTTGTTAACTTTCTGAGCAGTTTGGTGAACTGGTTGTTGGAAGAAATCATTAGGGCAGAGAACCAGTTGTTAAATTATTTGAATCCCACCATTGATGCCACCCAACTCTTCCCACCCATCTGGCACCTGTTCTCAAGGGAGCGGTTGCCCCCATGTCACAGATAGCTGGTTTGCAAGACGTCCACCTGGCCGAAGCAGCCCTGCCGCTGTTCACTTTTGTTTTGTGGCGGAAGAAGGAAGAAAGTGAACGGTGGTGGCACAGTGGTGCTTTGGGAGGGCAGATGGACCGCGGATGTCCCGGGGCTGCTGCACATGCAGACATGCACATGCTGCAATGCTGCCGTTTGCTTACTTCCTTCTCCCGCCACGAAAGGAAAGCGAACAGTGGCGGGGTTGCTTCAGGAGGTGGCTTTGGCCAGGCGGACGACTGCAGCCAGGTGGGCAGCTTCTGCCTCTCTTGCCCCACTTCTTTGCCAGCGGGAAGCGGCGCCATGGCTGAGCCTCCTTCCCCCGGAGTGCTGGACTCTGCGGGCCGAGTTCTCGGAGTGGCGCTGACGTCAAAGAGAGAAGGTAGGTGGCTGGGTGGGAATCCATTGGACTGCTTCCGAGCCCCAAGCCCCGTGGAGCCGGTACGGGAGGCACGCGGGCCCTGGTGGAAGACGGCCTTTTCTGCAGCATCCCCCTCCCCACTTTGGATCGCCCTGGGGAGAGGGGCTCTACCTTTGCAGAAACGGGGTGGGCGGTTTGTATTGAGGATTGGCAGGGGGGATGTGCGGCCCTCCGGGATGGAGAGCGGGGCAAGAGGTTCTGAGGTTCACTTGGGCAGTCAAGCCAGATGGTGGAGGGAAACTCAAAGCGTTGGGGGCTTCAGAAGGGCAGAATGTGCAACTCCTGGCTCTAACAGTGAGTGATGTCAAGTTGGTCATGCCTACCCAGTCACATGACCACAAGATACACCCACCAAAGGCCACGCCCACAGAACCGGTAGTGAAAATTTGTAGATTTCACCACTGTTTCTATGGAAAGCTGGAAGCTGGTGCCCGGAAGGTGGCCCAGGACAGCTGCAGCAGCTCTGTGGCAAGAGCCTCTCCCCTCCCCCACCCCAAGGGCCCTGCTCACCAGGAAAGAGGCGCAGCACTCCCTGGCTGTGAGAGCGGGCGCTGCAGACCAGGAGCAGCCAGGGGGGCAGCAGCCGCAGGTGGCTTCCCAGAAGTTGGGCAATGGACTTGCTGGGCCCCGGGGTGGGGTCCCTTTCCTCCTCCTCCTCCTCCTCCTGGCGGTCTCTCTTGGCCGCATCCAAGGCATCCACCACGATCAGCAGAGGCTTTGTGGGGGGTGGCAGGTCCAGCAGGGGCAGCAGCACCGCTCTGGGAGAGAAGGGAAACCATTGACAAGGGGGGAAGGGGAGCCCCCAGAGTTCTGCAACTGGGGCAGAACTCTGGGGGCCTAGGCGAGGCACTCCTCACAGCTGCAGGTTAGATTATATTTTGTCCATAAATTTAAAGCTATCTTTGATGAAAGGAAACAGCATTTGGACAGAGTCAACAAAGACAGGAAGCTTAAAAGCAACACGTGAATCAAAAGGCAATTTAAAGCAAAGAGCGACTGGATAAAAGTTAAAGCATCCATCATTTATTGTGAGCACCGACTGCCATGCCTCAATCTGCCTTCTGACAAAGCCCTCCTGCCAGCAGACCCACTGTAGAACTGGGGGTCCGGAGCGGGGCCCCTGCATCAGGCCCCACAGGGGAGGCTAGTTCTGCAGCCCCTGGCAGCTTCCTTAAAGGGGCGGGCAGCCTTCACTGCTACGGCCACAAAGACCCAGCCTGCCTCTTCCAGCATCCAGGGCTCTGCTTTGGCCACTGGCCCAGGGGCCCCTTTCACCACACCTGGGCAGAGTGCAGGGCAGAGGCCGACCTAAGCAGACAGGAAATGCGCATCCGGCCCAGGAATGGAGTGGAAACGGCCGCAGGAAGTGGGCCTGCAATCGTCTCCACTCCTCCAGGAAACCCAGCACCCGCATGGATCAGGCTGGGGTCTTTCAACACTGGCACCACAACAACCCCCCCCCCAGCCAAGGTTTTCAGCCAAGCTATGCCACGCTGGGTCAGGAGGGGTCAGGATGAACCTCATTGCCTGAAACTGCCCCCCCCCAGCCATCCCCACAATTCCCAGACTGCAAGGAGGGCAACCGAGGAAGAGTCTGGAATCCCAGGCAGCCAAACTCTCTGCAGGGCCGCAGATGCTCTACAAGGCACCCCATCAGATCGGAGGGAGCGGGGGGGGGGGGAGATGGGACACCCGGCCTCCGACCCAATGTCCCCGAGAAGGCCGGCCAGGACCCGGCGGGGAGCGGGCTGCAACCGGACCTCGCTTCCTCGGGCATCTCATCTCTCGGGGAAGGGCAGCGCAGGGGCTGCGGGGCTGTCGAAGGCGGCAAGCCCGTGCTGGGGCAGGGGAGCCGGGGGCCGCTTACCTGCGGAAGACCTCGTCCGGATCTTTGCAGGCGGCCGCCTCCAGCGTCTGGGGGGCGCCGGCCCGACGGAGGCGCTGGCGGTAGCCGGGCAGCAGCGGGCAGCGCTCGACCTGCCGTACCAACCGCAGCAGGAAGCCGCGCGGGGTGCAGGTGGCGTCGGCGTCGTGCGCCTGGCAGAAGTGCCACGCCAGGGCGGAGTCGGCCAGCCCCACCCGGAGGCCCGGCGCGGAGGTGGGCCACAGCGCCTCGGTGCACAGCGCCGTCTTGCCGCTGCCGGGGCCGCCGGTGACAAGCACCCCGCCGCCCCCCTCCAGGCTCAGCGCCAGCCGGCCCAGCGCCCACTCGCGCCCATAGAAGGGCTTGCCCCGCAGGAGGCTCCCGGCGGGCTCCATGCGGCTCCATGCGGCTCCGCGGACCCCCGGGGAAGCAGCTCCGACCCCGACCCGGCGCGGCTCAGGGAGGCGGCCAGGTGGGGCCGCAGCGGGCGCGCCGAGCGAGCGGCAGCGGATGCTGATTCATCCGCCCAGCCCCCGAGCGGACCGGCCTCCCGGCGGGCCAGGAACCCCCTCCTGCCCGGAGGCCGCGCGGGAGTCTTGGGGAGGGCGGCCTTCCCTCCCCCGGCAGCGACCGGGAGCCCGGCGCCCCGCCCCGCCCACGCCCAGCCGGACGGGCAGGGCGCGTCTCCCCCGGCTGGCACCACGTGGCGGCGCTCGGGAAGCCGGCGGGTGGGGGAAGCCGCTCAGCCCGGGCATCTGCGGGAAGGCGGCGGAGGAGCCCAGGGCTGCCCCATCGCCAGGAGGCCGGAGCTCGGTGCTGGGGGGGCGGAGGGGGCGACGCCCCGTGCCGAGCCCGGCTCAACTGCGCGGCGGCGGCCGGACTGAGGTCCCTGAGGCCGGAGATTTGTAGCGCACGAGTCCCGCCTCGGCTTCCTCGCGTGGCGGCGCTCCGGACCGCGGGCCGCCGAAGGAGAGGCGGCCGCTTCTTGGGAGTCAGGCCGGAGGGTCTGCAAAGGGGAGCAAGGCGGCCGGCGAGGACTGACCGCGGCAGGACTTCAGGAAGCCCCCCGTGCTTCTGGGCCTTTGCTGGGAAAGAAGCCAAGCGGGTTCCTGGGTTGTGATTGTGGCCATGCGTCGCCCCTCGGCTCCCCCCATGATCAGGGGGTCATTTGTGGATCAGTAGAGCCCCCCTAAAGAGGCGGATCCCCTCTGTTGAATCTCTCCCATGTGGGACAAAGCCATCGGCCCCCAACCGCCTTTTCAGGCTGACCGCGCTGCAGCCCCCCGCCCACTCCTCCTAGGCTCATGTCTGCAGCCTGCCCAGCGCAGTCCTTGCCCCCCCCCCCCGGGAAGGCCAGTAGGGATGGCCGTCTCAGAAACTCTCGGCTGGTGGTGCTTAGTAGCCCAAAGACCCCCCCCCCACCGCACCAGAGTGAACGCAGCGGTCATTCTGTGTAGACGAGGAGGGGGCTCTGTCTCCCAAAGCTTCCCTCGGACCCTCCTTTATAGGAACCGGGCGGAGGGTTGAGTTCCATTGCCCAGTTAGAACCTGATGAAAGGGCGGAGAACTCTGGCTGCTTTTTGACCTGTGGGCCGCATGGCTGGCTTAGGAATTCTGGGAGTTGAAGTCCATGGGTCATAAAAGGGCCATAGTTCCCCACCCCTGTTATAAAGGGTTATTTTAGCCCCTCTTCGCAATTTTTAGTTCTTAATCAGCAGCTGGTCGCTTTCAAAGATGCATTCATAGTTCCTGAAAGTAACTTGTAAGCCACAATTTCCCCCTTCCCACTATCTAACTTTCATTTTCTGTCTGCCTTGTCCCAACAGGATGAGGTTAGATGTTCCGCAAGCCTAAAGACAGCTTTTAAAATCTGGATGTAGCAGGCGGAAGTCTTTGGGGTGGCTCGTCTCGGCCCTGAGGCTCCCTTCCTTCCTCCTGCAGAGGCTCTGCACCCACCCGAGAGGCTGGTGCCCCTCTTGGGTCTCTGGAGCTTCTGCTTCAGGGAAAGGCCAGGGGGAGGGTCTTGGGGTTGCTGACCTGCTCATACCCATTCCCCCCGCCTCCCCCCCCGGTTTTTCAGGGCGTGGAGAATCTGTGCTGAATCAGCAGAAGAGAGTTTCTAACTACAGATAGTCTTCGACTTATGACCACAATTGAGCCCAACACTTCTATTGTTGAGACCGTTGTTAAGTAAATTTTGCCCCATTTTATGACTTTTCCTGCCACCGTCGTTAAGTGAATCACTGCAGCTGTTAAGTTAGTAACACGGTTATTAAGTGAATCTGGCTTCCCCATTGACTTTGTTTGATAGGGGGTGGCAAAAGGGGATCATGTGACTCAAGGACACTGCAACCGTCATAAATATGAGTCAGTTGCCAAGCATCTGGATTTTGGTCATATGACCGTGGGGATCCTGCAACAGTTGTAAGTGTGAAAAAATGCTCCTAAGTCCCTTTTTTCAGTGCCGTTGTAACTTTGAATGGTCGCTAATGAACTGTCGTAAGCTGAGAACGCTTAATTCCAGCCAGCTCAGTCTGTACCAAAAGTCCATGAGCATTTTTGGACAAATGTGTTTATTCCGTTCAGAAGCTCCCATGGCTCAGTGCACGCCTCGCTTCTTCCACGGCTTCCCTCCAAGCGGAGATGGACGGCTGTGCCTAGAAGTAGGTGATGGGGTCATCCTTGGTCTTGTCCAGCTGGAAGCTGGAGAGTTCAACCAGTCCGCCTTGAACTGGCAGCGCCTGGAAGATCCTCAGATGGACGTAATCCTTCTCTTTGTCACCACATCGCATCTGTGGGGGGGGGGAAGCAGCAGGACATGGACATCAGGCGCATGGCCCCTTCATCAGGACAAGGGCCAAGGACCCAACAGCCACGTCCCCAAAGGCAGGGTGACGGGGTGACTACAGCTACTTCTTGGGAGGGTTCCAGGAACGAATTCTGGGTCAGACTAAGCAGCCACAGATCAGGCCATCTTCTCCAGCCTGATGCCTCCAAAGAGTGAAGACCCCTCAAATCCTTTCCAGTGCTGGCTGAAGACCCCACTGGCTCCCGAGGTTCAGACAGGTCTTTCCTAGCCCAGCTGGTAGAGTTGGGTCAGGGACCTAGTAGCCGATTTGGCTAAAACCCAAAGCAGAAGACCTTCCTCTTCTAATATTAAAGAGCCCTTCCAAGCCAGAAGCTTTTGTGAAGAGTGGCTGCGGGGGACGGAGGGGGGGGGAGAGAATGGTTTGGAGGAAGGTCATTGGCTCCAGCAGGTCCAGGAGGCCCTCAAGGGAAGATCTGAGTTGGCACTGAACCCCCCAGTGACTCAGTGGGGTGGGTTGGCAGAAGAGGTTAAAGAAAACAAGCAGGCATTGAAGTTAAGCAAGGTGGGCAGATGCAGGTGCCACAGCAACAACTGGGGGAGGGGTCTTTGGAGGGCAGCCTCTGTGAAGCGGAGAGAAGAACCTCACAGATGGCTGGTAAGGGGCTGATTCCCCCCTCCCCCACTTGGGATTGGGTGCATCCTGTGGTTCAGCCACTGACCTTGATAAAGTAATTCATGCCAGCGACCACCTGGGCACAGTACAAAATGGCCTTGTAGGTGGCAAACCTCTTGTTCGCCGCCGCCTCCAGCTTGTTCTTCACCTGGTGACAGAAGGGACCTGGTCAAGGCAATCAGGCCGCAAGAGGGAGAGATGCCAGGACACAGCTCCTTGCTGGCCTGGCCAGACGATGGGGACTTCTGGGGCATCTCTTGGCAAAGCAGGGAAGGGAACTTGACAAAGTCCTTGGGATGGGTTATTGGCTGGATGACCTACCTGCTGAGCAATGCCTTGGATTTCAGGGGTGGCTGGTTCTGGAGGAGAAAGTCCCCCAATGTTCATGGTGCTCAAGTTCTTGGGGAAGCAGCTGGCAGCCTGGGTGGGTATCCGACTGAGGAGCCTCTGGGGGCAGCCCAGATCTTGGTCTTTTATGGCTAGTCCAGGGAGCTGCCTGCTGTGATCATGTGTCCTGCTGCTGCCGTCACGTGAGGCCATCCATGCATCTGGCCAGAGCAGTTCCATGGCCCTGCCCTCCTGGCTGACAGAAGGAGGAGAACCAGCCCAAGCCTGTCGGGGCCCTTTCGCAACAGGGACGGGTGGGGCTGGGCGCCAGAGAGTGAGTCAGTGCCCGCTAGAGCAGAGGTTGACAGGAAAGCAGCTGATCTCTGGTGGGGTTGGGCTCCTGGAACCTCACCTGGCGCCTCTTCCATCTGCCACGGCCAAACCCTCCCTCCCTCCTGGTTCATCCTCAACTGGAGCAAATGCTAGGCTTCTCCCGCATCTCTTTCGGCTCCAGGCCACACACATATCCCGTGGCAGCTGATAGAAGCCTTTGGTGGCATCTTACACCTCTCTGAGCTTAGATGTTTTCTTGCAGACATTTCATGACCCAACTAGGGAACACCATCAATGCTAGAAGGGAGGAGGCTTGCAGAGTGAAGGAGAAGGAAGAGGACTGTGGGGTCCTTGGTTGTTTCTGAGTTTGATTGTTTCCTTGCAGATGTTTTATAACCCAACTAGGTAACTTCATCAGTGCTAGAAGGGAGGGATTTGCTCTCATTTTATAAACAAGTGTGGGTGGGAATGGTCTTGGAGGTTCCTTGAGTAAACTGTTGTTTACTGTTAGCTTGTTTGTCTGAGTTAGTAGTTCCTTGATTGGTGTGTTGTTTGCTTATTGATTGTTGGTCTAGTACTAATCTTGGTATTAAAAAGACGGTGGTCTTTTTGCTTCCTTTTTTTTGGCTTTTTTGATTGTCTCTTTTGAATGACATGTAGATGTTGTATATCTCTATGTGCCTGTTGATGGCTGATGTGTCTAAATGCCAAGCTTCGAGGAATTCTCTAGTGTTTCTGGACTTGGCTTGGTCTAGGATGCTCAGTTTCCCAGTTGAAGCTATGTTCAGTCTGTCCATATGACCAAAACTCCTCCTTACCAGCAATCAACACTATTGGCCTTAAGCACGGGATTAATGTCCAAACGGCTGGCAGGTCAGGGCCTGGAGGAGGAAAGAGGTTGGGTCTGTGCTGGGCCATTGAGTTTTTCCATGGAAGACTGAGGACACAGCAGAGGGGCGAGGCTGTGATCAGCCACGCAAGAAGGGGAAGTGGTGGAAAGCACCTCGGTGGTAGCACGTACGTAGCTTGCTCTAAACGGTTCCAGATCCTCCTGGATGTTCCAGTGGCAGAAACTGAGATGAGGAGGGAGAGAAGAAGCTGAATAAAGCCCAAGCTGAAAATGAGGGAAAGAGAGTTGAGAGGGACAAAATTAAGGAACTTCTTTCTTTTGTGTTTCTGTTTTTCGGTTTTGTAATATTTTGTAAATATTACTTACGCTTGTATATGTCATTAGATCACTTTGCTTTATTGGCAAAAGCACATAAATCTGCAGAATAAGCTCCCTCGTGTATGGAAGTGCTGGCAGTGGGTATGTCTGGGTCTGCCTCTCCTGCCCCACACCTGTGTTCAGAGAGCGGGGTGTGTGTGTCCTCCTGAGGGCCCCTAGTTCTGAGCTGGCTGGGCGGGTCATTCAAGGCAGCTTCTGCAGTGACAGTTGTCTGAGTCTTCATGGCTCATGCAAACCTTATTGCCTTCTTTGATGAAGTGACTAAATTAGTGGAATTCTGTGGACATAGCAAACGTAGACTTCAGTGAAGCCTTTGACAAAGTAGACCACGACTTCTTACTTTTTGGTAAGCTAGGAAAATGTGGGAAGACACCACCACCATCACCAGATGGGTTCATAACTGACTTATGAACAGAGTGGAGTCCTCAATGGAGCAACATCTACATGGAGGGAAGTCAGTAATGGGGCACTTCAAGGGTCTGTTTTGGGCCCAGTGCTCTTCAAATCTTCATAAATGATTTAGATGAGGGAATGGGAGGGGAATTTATCAAATTTGCAGATGACACCAAGCCGGTAGGAATAGCCAAAATTCCAGAAGACAGGCTCAAAATGCAGAAGGATCTTGACAGACTTGAACACTGGGCTTTATCCAACAAAGTATAATTCAGTGGTGAAAATAGTAAAGTTTTACACCTAGGCAAGAAAAATCAAATGCAAAGATATAGAGTAGGTGGTACCTGGCTCAATAGTTTCCTGACTTCCAGTGGGCCTGGAAGGCCCATTTTTTGCCCTCCCCAGGCTCCAGAGGCTTTCTTGGAGCCTGGGGAGGGCAAAAATGCCCTCCCAGAGCCTCTGAGCGAGCCCTGTACTTACCTGCCATCCAAAATGGGCCGCATGGAGACTCCTGGGAGGGGAGGGGCAGCTGAAAATGAGCTGGCCAGCACACGCATGCGTGCTGGAGCTGAGCTAGCTGCAGATATGGCTCAGTGTGCCACCTGTGGCATGTGTGCCATAGGTTTGCCATCATGGGTATAGGCACTTATGTATTGCTCCATAGTAGAGCACTCTTTGAGTGGTTTACAAATGCAGCCTGCTGCCTCCAACAACCTAGGCCCTCATTTTACCCAGTTTGGAAAGATGGAAGGTTGAGTTAACCTTGAGCTGTTCAGGATCAAACTTCTGGCAATGGGCAGAGCCTGCAATATTGCATTTTAACCACTGCGTCACCATGCAACCATAGCTCCATAACTTCTGGAGGCAAACCATTTGGCTTGCCTCTACAGGAGACGTTGTGGAGGTTTTCAAGAAAAGACTGGACAGCCATTTGTCCAGAATGACATAGGGTCTCCTGCTTGAGGAGAGGGTTGAACTAGAAGACCTCCAAGGTCCCTTCCAAATCTCTTATTCTGTTACGGCTGGGGTCCTGCAACTTCTCTGCAGTGAGGGTTTCTCTTCATTTAGTCTTTTATTTCTGGGAAGGGGGGGATGCACCATTTTACCTCCTCCCTTGCTGTGTTACATGGGCTGCTGCCTGCCTTTCTCTAGCAGTGCTGCTACTAAGAGGCTGGGGGCCTCTTTCTGCCGACGGCTCCTCCAGCTTTGCTGGGTGTCCCTTTCCCTCCTTCAGCCTGACTGGCAACCTTGGGCAGCAGGAGGATGGGGCAAACTCAGAAAAGAGTTCTCCTGCGCACCTGTCACAGCAGGCCAAGTCTGCCAGTTGTAATACCCACCGACACCAGCCTAGCCCAGCCCCAGCCTGCCCCACCCATGTGGGAACTGGGGCAAAGGGGGAGGATGGCCCAGCATGGCCCAGCCCTTGAGCCAAGGAAGCGACTGAAGGAAGAAGTAGGAGGAGGGCAGGTGGAGACAGCCAGCATGCTGCAACCAAGAGGTGGCTCCCCACTCGAGAGTTTTTCCATGGGCCTCAAGACAAGGGGAGAGTTAGACCTTCTAATTCAGGAGTGTGAACACAATGCAGGTGGCATCCCTGAAACTTGGGGTGCTCAGACCATCCCAGACACATGTCAAAACTTGCTTTGAAAAACTGCAGTGATGGAGCCTCGTTACTCCAGGAGGCAGGAGGTCCCACTCACAGGATGTCCTTCCTTACTCCAAATTTGGATTCTTCTTCATAAGATGTTCAACCATTCTTCCTATCCAAGCCTTGGGAGCCCTACAGAGTAAATTTTCTTTCCTTCAGCATTGCTGGCTGGGGAATTCTGGAAGTTGAAGTCCACAAGTCTTAAAGTTGCCAAGGTTGGACATCCCTGCTTTCGGTTCATCACCCCCAATTCTTTTAACCATTCCTTCTGGGACTGAGTCTCCAAGCCCTCTGCCATCTTTGTCACGTCTTCCTGTACTGCATACTCAGCACCCATTTTCTACCCTGGTGAGCAGAATTGGACACGGTAGTCCAGATGTGGCCTGAGCCAGTGCAGCATAGAGTGGAGCTATCATTCCCTGTGAGCTTGGTACCACATTGATGCAGCCCAGTCTATGGTCTATCAAGACACCCAGATCCTTCGTGCCAGTACTACTTTTTAAAAATAGTAATTAAAAAAATGGGACTTCCGGTCTGGAGCCGCGGCGCCACAGTCGGGGAATTAGCGGGCTCTAACGAGCCTGTGAAAACCCAGACTGACAAACCGCTGCCCGACCGGTCTTCGGACTGATCCCCATCTTGTAGGGATGGGGTGTGTGTGAAGAGGAGCGCCTCGGAGGGCCAAGAGGAACAGGCAAGTTCCTCGGAGGCCAGAGGGAATCCTCAAAGTCGGCGGCGGGGGTAGGCAGCCATGGCGGCTGCCACAAAGCCGCAGCAGACCGGGACACAAGATCGTGCAGGAGGAAGAAGAAAGAACGAGCATTTCAAAGCTGGGTGAGTGACACCAACCCAGGCAAATAAAGGGATTACTTGGAATATTTTTTTTAAAATAAGACCCCAACCTTTAAACAGCGGCTACTGATCCGTGGGGCTTGAAGACTTAAAAGAAAGGGGGGAAAAGAATGGAGACCCAAGACAAACTTTGCATTAATTAATTTGGCTTAGAAGAATTTGTTTCTAATAATTTGGAAAATTGGACTTTTTTTTCCTGTTCTCTTTGGAGTGGATTGAAGAAGTATTTTTTGGGGAATTTAAACCTGTGAAAGTTAACGAAGTTAATGAAGATTGACAGACAGATGGCTACAAAATTGCCATGAAGTTTGCGGTGACTAAGCAGGAAAGTGGATTGAAGAGATTTTACTTTCTGGTTGGAAAAGAAATATCCTAAATGGCTTTCTACTTTGGATTATTATGATTACTTTGGAATTAACATTAGACTAATAGACTTTGGAAATTTCTATCCTGTTCTGTGTGATTTTAAGAAGAAAGATCTTGGACCTTTTCTATAATGGAAACTTACAGACTTAACAAAAAGAAAGTGTGGCACACGAACAAAGACAGGAAGTGGAGACATCATGCTTGGAGCAGATATTTATAAGAGCATCAAAGTGATATATAGAACTTTTAATTTGAATAGATGAACTTTGAAGTGGAATATGTGGACAGACAGGAAAAAGAAGAAACAAAATAGATTTAAATCTAAACTAAATGTAGTTTAGTTTAAATCTAACTAAATGTAACTAAATTGTAATGTAATGCTTAAAAGCCTAAAGGAATAAAAGGTTTTTTTTTTTCTTTTGGATTAAACAGGAAGGTTTTTGGAATAATAAAGAAAAAATAATAAATGGCAATTAAAATAGGGATTTATATATTAAGTGGTTAAAAATTACTATGAGAAGTGTATACTAATGTGAGATAATTTTAAGAAAACTTATTATTTGATGTAATATGTCTTAACTATATTCTGCAAACAAAGTTAGACTGTTGACTATGATTGATTAATATATTACTGAATGAAACTATGAAATACACAGATGATAGAGATAAACTGTGATCTAATTTAACAAGTATGGGAAATGATTATTATGAAACATAATGAGAATTAATTTTGATGAATAGAGATATAGAGATTAAATAGATAATTATGATGTAAGGGAAAACTAAAATAATGAGGTGAAGGATACTAACTAGATAAGAGTTAGAGACTCAGAGGAAGTAAGTGGGAAAATAAATAAAATGCTGGAAATCAGCCAAACAATGGCAGGAGAGTTGGAGGAGACTATGCTGGAAATCAGCCAAACAGAATATGCTGGAAATCAGCCAAACAATGGAAGGAGCTCTGGAGGAGATTATGCTAGAAATTAGCCAAATAAAATATGCTGGAAGTCAGCCAAGCAATGGAGGGAGTCTGGGAGAAGCTTATGCTAGAAACTAGTCAAATACAATATGCTGGAAATCAGCCAATAATGTTGGGAGATTGGGAGGAAATAATATTGGGAATAATCTCAAAAGAGTTGATAATTTGGAGAAGAATAAGCAATATGTTCTTGTGATAAAACTGTGTAATATGTGGGATATTAAATTGGAAAGTTCAAGATATTTTGATTTGATAAGGGTCAAATAAGATGTTGATAAAATTGTGTTTTATAAATTTCAACAAAATGGAGTTGTATTGAAATTGAAATAGATAATTTTGGTGATAAAATTGTAAGGTATATAATTAAAATAAGAGACTAGAATATTGTTAATAACTATTTGGACATTGATGAGATATAGATACAGAGATAATGAGCTAAAATTTAATTCGAAGTTAAAATTGTATTGATATATTAGATTTGTCTAGATGAAAGTGTTAGAATTATATGTTTAAATTTGTTTTTTGTTTTTTTTTGCTGTTTTAAATTTTTTAAAGATGTAATGGAAAAGTGGAATAGAGCGTGTTAAAAGAATGTAAGCATGTTAACCATCTATGACCGGATTGAAACTCTGTTCTTGAAAGTTATATTTTATGTTTATGTTTGGGAAAAAATAAGAAAAATATTTACAAAAAAAAATAGTAATTAAAAAAAGTAGTGCTGGCAAGAAGGATCTGGGTCTCCTTTGAGACTTCTTGGGACACAGAAATTGACTCCAGGATCATCCAGACCAGCTAAGTGCAGGGGCAGCTGTGTATTAGACTGCTCCAACACAACATCTGCACTTCCACAAATCTGAAAGTCTGCAGAGCTTTTTTCTCTCCTAGTCCTGGATTCTGCACTGAAGGTGTGTTAAAACGCCTGGAGAAATCTCACAGGAACACGCTCTGCTCCATCCTCGGCATCTTTTGGCAAGACCGTGCCAACAGTCTGGAGGTCTTGGATCACGCGGAGTGTACTGTCATTGAGTGTCTGGTTATCAGAGGGCAGATAAGATGATGGGAGAGGTTATCAGAATGGACAATTCCGCCTTGCCAGTTGCTCCATAGTCTGGGAGTCTGGGAAGAGCTGAAGGTTGGCCACGTAAGCGGACAAGGACGTTGGGAAAGAAACCCCACCGCTGTGACCTTCAGCCAAGTGAGGCAGAAGATGTGGCTGCTGACAGAAGCTGCTGGTGAGCCCTATGGATCCCCCCACCCCCCAGTGTTGGCCGAGGGGACCCATTGCGGATCCTGCCAGCTAAGGGATTTCAGCTGGCAGGATCCAGGAGATGAGCCTTGTCTGTCGTGACTCCCCGCCCCCCTCCTGACGTTTCCTAAGAGCTGCCTCTGCCAGATGCCTTGGGGACCTAATGGGGGAGGTTTACCTAGAGATGGTTTACCTAATCCCCACCCCCACCCTCCTCCTGCATGTCCAGCTCCTTCCTTTGCCATCTTGTGTTAACACTTTTATTACTCTATGATTTTATCTGTTGTGTTCAATGATAGCTTTCATGTTTTTTGAAATGTTTTTATGTTTTTATGCTGTAAACTGCCCAGAATAGTTGGATAAGAGATCAGTGGAAAATAAATTTCATGAATGAATGAATGAATGAATGAATGAATGAATGAATGAATAAGCAAGCAAGCCTCCATGGCTTTGAGGACAGTCTCCTCCAAAAACAAAGAAAACTGTGAATGGTGTCATGCAGCAAGACCCCGGGTTACAGCAACAGTGAGCTTCCGGTACTCCTACCGAGGCAGACTCGGTGCTCTGGGCAAAGCCGCTTCCGTGTCCATTGATGGACTGCCCAACAGCCTCTCTTCTTTGGAGCCAGCTACTTATTATTTATTTATTTATTTATTTATTTATTTATTTATTTATTTAGTTTGTTAGTTAGTTAGTTAGTTAGTTAGTTTGTTTGTTTGTTTGTCAAGCAGTTAGTATGAGAAAGCAAGTATAAGTGTGAACAGGTATAAGTATATACATATTAAATGAGTACGAATAAATGGGAACAGTAGGACAGGGATGGTAGGCACGCTGGTGCACTTATGCACGCCCCCTTTATGGTCCTCTTAGGAATGGAGTGAGGTCCATGGTGGACAGTTTAAGGTTAAAGTTTTGGGGGTTTGAGGATGTAACGAGTCAAGTAGTGAGTTCCAGACATTGACCACTTTGTTGCTATAAATTGTATTTTCTGCAATCGAGTTTGGAGCAGTTAACTTTGAGTTTGTATCTATTGTTTGTCCGTTGAGGTTGAAGTTGAAGTAGTCATTGGCAGGTAGGATGTTGTAGCAAAAAATTTGGTGTACTAAGTTTAGGTCAGACCATAGGCGGCATAGTTCTAGGTTGTCCAGGTCCAAAATTTCAAGCCTGGTGGCATAAGGTATTCTATTGCGAGCAGAGGAGTGGAATACTTTTCTCGTAAATACCTCTGGACTCACTCAATTGTATTAATGTCTGTTATATAGTGTGGATTCCAGGCAGATGAGCTGCATTCAAGAATTGGTCTGGTAAAGTTTTTGTATGCTGTGGTTTGCAGTACAATGTTACCGGAGAAGAAGCTTTGCAAAATTAGATTAACAACTCTTAATGCCTTTTTGGCAATGCGGTTGTTTGGCGGTTATTATTAAAGAAGGTCTTGGTCCGAGGGAGACCACTGTGCCTCAGACTACCGGATGTGAGTCCCTCTTCGTGAGATGGGGTCATGGGGTTCAGATGGGCTTGCTGCTTGCGTACCTGGCTCCCGCCGCGTGGCAGCAGCCCTGCCTGAGCTACTCGACATGATAGCCACGGTGGCAGTTGATACACCCAGGCTTATGGTCATGGGTGATTTCAACTTGCCATCCGTTGGTGAAACGTCTGGGATGGCTCGGGAGTTCATGGCTTCCATGACGGCCATGGACCTGACCCAGTTAGTTCATGGCCCCACTCACGGGGGGGGACACACTCTAGACTTGATTTTTGTCTCTGGCCAGTGGTTGAGTGATCTTGTTATAGGGGATATAGACATGGAACCCTTGTCATGGTCAGATCACTCACTCCTTCGTCTGGACCTTCGTACCGCTACACCCCGCCGCAGGGAGGCGGTCCCAATTAGATGGGTCCGCCCCAGGCGCCTGATGGATCCTGATAGGTTCCAGACGGAGCTTGGGCCAATTCCTGATGATCTGGCACACAACTCGGCCGAGGACCTGGTAGCTGCCTGGGATCGGGCGGCTGGTGGGGCCTTGGATCGAGTCGTGCCTTTGCGGCCTCTGACCCGCTGTCGATCCCTCGCGGCTCCTTGGTTCACCGAGGAGCTGAGGGAGATGAAACGCCGGAAAAGATGCCTAGAGAGCGGTTGGAGGGCCAGTCGCGCTGAATCTGACCGAACACTGGTAAGGTCGCATATTAAGACCTACCTAGTGGCGATGAAGATGGCAAAGTGTAATTACTTTTCCGCCTCTATTGCGTCATCAGGGAATCGTCCGGCAGCCCTGTTCAGGGTAACCCGCTCCCTGCTCCATCTGGGAGCACGGGAGGATCCCTTGGAAGGCAGGGCGGAGGATTTCGGACAATACCTGTATGACAAAATCGCTCAGATCCGGGGGGACTTGGACTCTGACTGGGTAGATCAGGGCAGGGTGACGAGGAATAGTCTTGAGAATGTGATCTGGGAGGAGTTTGATGCTGTGACTCCCGATGATGTGGACAGGATTTTGGGGAGACTTAGTGCGGCCACATGTTTACTGGACCCGTGTCCCTCCTGGTTGGTACTGGCCTCTCGGGAGGTTACACGAGGCTGGCTCCAGGGTGTTATCAACGCTTCATTGAGTGAGGGTTACTTCCCCGCGGCCTTGAAAGAGGCGGTGGTGAGGCCTCTCCTCAAGAAGCCGTCCCTGGATCCGGCAATATTGGCCAACTATCGTCCTGTCTCCAACCTTCGCTTTCTGGCAAAGGTTGTTGAGAGTGTGGTCGCGCGACAGTTTCCGCAATTCCTGGAGGAAACATCCTATCTGGATCCGTTCCAGTCTGGTTTCAGGCCTGGGCACAGCACGGAAACGGCATTGGTCGCGTTGGTTGATGATCTCTGGAGGGCTCGGGACAGGGGTTGCTCCTCTGTTCTGGTCCTGTTAGACCTCTCAGCGGCTTTTGATACCATCGACCATGGTATCATGCTGCACCGGTTGGAAGAGTTGGGGATGGGGGGCACCGTGTTACGGTGGTTCTCCTCCTTTCTCTCCGACCGGTCGCAGTTCGTGTTGACAGGGGGGCAGAGGTCGACCTCGAGGCCTCTTATATGTGGAGTGCCTCAGGGGTCGGTCCTCTCGCCCCTCCTGTTCAACATTTATGTGAAGCCGCTGGGCGAGATCATCCGTGGCTTTGGGGTGAGATACCATCAGTACGCTGATGATACTCAGCTGTACATCTCCACCCCAGGCCACCCCAATGATGCCCTTGAAGTGATGTCCCAGTGCCTGGAGGCTGTACGGATCTGGATGGGGAGGAACAGGCTCAAGCTCAACCCTTCCAAGACTGAGTGGCTGTGGTTCCCGGCATCCCGATATAGTCAGTTGACTCCATCACTGACTATTGGGGGCGAGTCTTTGGCCCCCACAGAGAGGGCTCGCAATCTGGGAGTCCTCCTGGATACACAGCTGTCCTTGGAGGAACATCTGACGGCTGTAACCAGGGGGACCTTTTATCAGGTTCGCCTGATCCGCCAGTTGCGGCCCTTTCTTGATCGGGATTCCCTGTGCACAGTCACTCATGCCCTCGTCACCTCTCGCCTTGATTACTGTAACGCTCTCTACATGGGGCTCCCCTTGAAGAGCACCCGGAGGCTCCAACTGGTCCAGAATGCAGCAGCGCGGGTAGTGACGGGAGCAGCATGGCGCTCCCATGTAACACCGCTCCTGCGCGAGCTGCACTGGCTTCCAGTGGTCTTCCGGGTGCGCTTCAAGGTGTTGGTTATCACCTTTAAAGCGCTCCATGGCATAGGGCCTAGCTATCTCCGAGACCGCCTGCTGCCACCGACGACCTCCCATCGACCCGTGCGCTCCCACAGAGAGGGCCTCCTCGGGGTGCCATCAGCCAAACAATGCAGGCTGGTGACCCCCAGGGGGAGGGCCTTCTCTGTGGGGGCTCCCACCCTCTGGAAACAGTTGCCCCCTGAGATAAGGAGAATCCATGACCTCAGTGCCTTCCGCCGTGCCCTTAAAACCTTCCTTTTCCAACAAGCCGGGCTGGCCTAATTCTTTTTACATGTTTTTTAATTGTTTGGTTTATTGTTTTAATTAATGGGGCCAAATTTATATATATTTTTTAACTGTATTTTAATATTTGTATTTGATGTTTTTTATTTGGCTGTTCACTGCCCTGAGTCCTCAGGGAGAAGGGCGGTATACAAATTCAAAAATAAATAAATAAATAAATAAATGCTGTTACAGTGAGCTCTGGGGCTTAGATTTTTTGAAATGAGTACTCCTAGGTCCTTGACAGAGTGAGGGTCATCTACGAGGTCGTATCCGCCCAGTTTGCATTAAGTATTCTGATTTTTGTTGCCAATGTGTAAGATGGAGCATTTGTTGGTTGAGATTTGAAGTTGCCAATCGTTTGACCCATAGTCAGAATGTCATACTTGCCTTTTCCTAGATCTCCTCCTAGCTCTGCTGTCCTTGGCATGAGATCTGCCATGAACTGTGGGGAGGGGGATGGATGAAGGGGTGAATGCTTTGGGAAATGAAGGTGCTGAACCTGGAGATGCTGCCTCAAGAAGGAGGGGGCCGCACACCAAACCACGCTTGGACTGACATTTAGGGAAACATCCTGCCCGAACCTGACTGGTTACACCAAGGGGAGCAATGAGAGACAATTAAGGGATAGGAAAGTATAACTTGGGTTTTTTGGTGCACGATTCTTAGTTGTCACCTTCACTTAGGAGTGAAGCTTGTATATATCATTAGAGCACGTTGCTTCATTGGCAAAAGTATCTTAGTTTCCAGAATAAGGACCCCCATTTGTGCTGACTGTATGTGTGTGTCAGGATGAGCCCCACTCCGAGGGATGGGGAGGACCTCCTGTCTATGGAGCTTCTCAATCCTCCAGGTCCTGGTTGTCCCAACGGAGCCTTTTCAAAAGGCAACGGGACTTTCTTTGTTTTCTCCTTGAAAATGTTTCAGTTCTTATCCAAGAAGCTTCTTCAGAACCGATGAAGCTTCTTGGATGAGGAGTGAAACTTTTTCAAGAGAAAAAAACAGGAAAGCCCAGTTGCCTTTTGAAAAAGCACTTTTGGGAAGGCCTCCTCCTTTCCCCCTTGACCATCTCCTGGGGTGCTGCTTAGCAGAGACAGAAGGGACTTGACCCAGGATCTTGGGGTTTCCTGCAAAGCAGTGGTGAAATCTAAAATTTGTTACTACCGGTTCTGTGGGCATGGCTTGGTGGGGGGTCTAATGTGACTGGGTGGGCGTGGCCAATTTTTTTTAAAAAAACACGTTTAAAACCATTTTTTCTATAACCTCTTCTGTGAAGAGGTTGTAAAAAAATGCTTTCAAAAGGCTCTGACGATCCCAGCTGAGTTGCCTGATCGGCAGAGGCTTTTTAAAAAACTCAGCTGGGATCGTCAGAGGCATTTTTTTTCTTTTAAATGCCTCTGACGACCCAAGCTGAGCTGCACGATCATCAGAGGCTTTTTAAAAAACTTTTAAAAACATTTTTTCAGCCAAAGAGGTTGTAGAAAAAAGTTACTTTTAAAAGTAAGAAAAAAACCTCTGATGATTGTGCGGCTTAGATGGGCATGGGGGGGGGGCAGGGATTTTTGCTACCGGTTCTCTGAACCACCCGCCTCCATCGCTACCGGATCGGGTGATCCAGTCTGAACTGGGAGCATTTCACCCCTGCTGCAAAGCAAGAGTCCCTTCATCATTTTGCTGCAAAATTTGGGCTGGCCAGAAGTGTGAGTTAGAAACAAGGCCCACCCAGAAGTCCCAGATCAGAGCCGGCCCTCCGGATCATTTGCTGGCCATGGAGTTCCATCCAGCAACCTTTCTTTGGCCAAGGGCCCTCATCCTGCTGGGGTTGCGATTGGTGCTCTGGGAGGCTGAGGAAAGACCCCCCCGTGCTGTCTTATGGGGCTTTCAGAAGAAGAATTGGGGGTCCAGACGGCTGTGAGGAAAGGAGCATTGTTCCTTCCCCAAAGCAAAGAGGCTTCCGTGTGGGGGCAGCTAGAGAGAGAGCGATGTGCTAAAGGGCTGTGTGTGATGGGTGTCTGTGTGTCCTTGGTGTGGGTCTTGAGGGATATAGATACGGGTGCACGCTGGTTCTTGGGTGACGCTTGAGGGGTGTGGGGCTGTGTACGTGTTGATCTGGAGAAGAGATTGATTAAATCAAATGATGTGGATTGGATCTCTGTTTGAACTGTGAGCGTTATAATTATGTTTACATTGCGTTAACTGAGCTTTGTTTGCTTGTGTGGGTACACAATTTGAAGTAAGTGTTTAATTCTTATGTTTGCTGTAAATTTAAAGGATTTCAGAGGCTGTTAATCAGTAATTTTGGGGGGGACATGGGCTAGTCAACCTGATTTCCTATACAATATTTCTAACAGTTATATACATGTGTAAGTTCTTCCCATGGGGGAGGGCAACATGTTGGAGCTGTCCAGGCTTGGGCATGCAGGAGCTTCCCCTGCCAACATTGGGCCTTTTGGAGCCAGAGAGAATCCTTTGGTGTCACCTGCGGCTGGCACAGGAGCCTCTGGGACCCCCCAAGAGGCTGGATGGGGCAGGGAAGTGAAGCAAAGAAATCCTCCTTTCAGACAGCTTTTGGTAGAAAAAGATAAAACCTCTGGCCGAGGATTGGGTTCAGGTTTTTGGCTTCTTTTCTGTGTTTATTTCCCGCCACTGGTTTTGGATTAGCAGCTGTGTGTCTAAGAGAGAGAGATTCATCTTCTGGCCTCTGTCAACAGGAACTCTCCATTCATGGTGAAACAGCGCCATCTGCTGCTCTGTCTGCAGACCTTCATTTTCTCTACTTTTCTCCCCCCCCTCCCTTTTTAAATTCAGCTGGAGCCCAGGATGTGGGCCCTATTTTCAACACTGAATGTTGGGATTCTCATATTTAAAATGGGGAAAAATGTTTTTGTTCCTTTTTTAAAATAATGCTCAGGGCTTTTTTTGAATCACGTGTCAGTGAGATGGCTAGTGAATAAATGTAGTACAGGTAGTCTTTGACTTACAACAACAGTTCATTTAGTGACAATTCAAAGTTACAAAGGCCCTGAAAAAAGGGACTTATGACCATTTTTCAGATTTATGACCGTTGCAGCATCCCCATGGTCACATGATGAAAATTCAGATGCTTGGCAGCTGATTCATATTTATGACGATCGCACTGTGTCAGAACCATGTAATCCCCTTTTGTGACTTTGGAACAAGCAGAGTCAATGGGAAAGCCAGATTGACTTAATACCTGTGTTGTTAACTTAACAGCTGCAGTAGTTCACTTAACAATTGTGGCAAGAAAGGTCATAAAATGAGGCAAAACTCACTTAACAAACGTCTCACTTAAGAACAGAAATGTTGGGCTCAATTGTGGTTGCAAGTCAAGGACTGCCTGTAATAGCAATAGCACTTAGATTTATATACCACCTCATAGTGCTTTATATCACTCTCTGAGAGGTTTACAATATTTGCCTTTTGCCCCCAACAATCTGGGTCTTCATTCAACCGACCTTGGAAGGACGGAAGACTGAGTCAACCTGCAGCCGGTTAGGATCAAACTGCTAGCAGTCGGCAGAGCTTATAGGGTAAAGAAATTACTGTAAAAAGGGAGGATGGAGAACAACTTGTGACCTTGTGGCGTTAAACGTGCTATAACTTTTGGTTAATGCTCCATAAAACCCACCTGTGGACATTATGGGGGAGGGGATCACACAGACTTTGAGAGGGAGCTCTCTGTATCCTTCCTTCTGCAGAACAAAGCTTGTTTTGCAATCACCTTAGTGTGTTCAGTTTATTTATTTATTTATTATTCGTATTTCTATGCCGCCCAAGTCTCTGAGGACTCTGGGTGGCTTACAACAAAGACAATATGAACAATATACAATAAGAGACGTTAAAAAACGCATACACACCGCTCATGGCCGGATCTTGCAAGATCGCAGTGGCGAGATCAAAGGCCCCAAGCCTGCTGGAAAAGCCACATTTTCACCATTTTCTGGAAGGCCAGTAGGGTGGGAGCGGTCCGGGCCTCAGGAGGTAGCTGATTCCAGAGATCCGGGGTAGCCGCAGAGAAGGCCCTCCCCCGCAGACCTGCCATCCGACATTGTTTAGCTGACGGGACCCGGAGGAGGCCAACTCTGTGGGATCTTACCGGTCGCTGGGAGCTATGCGGTAGAAGACTGTCTCGAAGATAGCCTGGCCCTGAGCCATATAGGGCTTTAAAGGTAATAACCAACACCTTGAATTGTGACCAGAGACCAATAGGAAGCCAGTGCAGCTCACGGAGGATTGGTATAATGTGGGAGTACCTAGGTGCACCCACGATCGCTTGAGCGGCTGCATTCTGGACCAGCTGTAGTCTCCAAACACTTTTCGGGGTAGCCCCATGTAAAGCGCATTGCAATAATCTAATCGTGAGGTGACAAGGGCATGAGTGATTCTGAGAAGAGCCTCCCGATCCAGGTAGGGTCGCAATTGGTGTACAAGGTGAACCTGTGCAAAGGTCCCCCTGGCCACAGCTGCCAGATGTTGCTCTAATCTTAGCTGTGAGTCTAGGAGGACACCCAAATTGCGAGCCCGTTCTGAGGGGGGCAATTTCTCCCCCCCCCCAGAACCAAGGATGGACAGTCGACATAGTCTTTAGGAGGCAATACTCACAGCCACTCGGTCTTGTCTGGGTTAAGTCTGAGCCTGTTGACTCCCATCCAGTCTCTCACAGCCTCCAGGCACCGGCACATCACATCCACTGCATCACTGAAATGATGTGGGGTAGAGATATACAGCTGGGTATCATCGGCATACTGCTGATATCTCACCCCGTATCGTTGGATGATCTCCCCCAGTGGTTTGAATAGAAGGGGAGAGAGGACCGAGCCCTGAGGCACCCCAAAATGAGGGCCTGGGGTCAACTTCTGTCCTCCTATCAACACCGACTGAGACCGATTGGAGAGAAAAGAGGAGAACCACCGTAACACGGTGCCTCCCACTCCCAACTCCCTTAGTCGGCCTAGTAGGATACCATGGTCGATGGTGTCAAAAGCTGCTGAGAGGTCAAGTAGCACCACGATAGAGGAATGACCCCCATCACAGGCTCGCCAGAGATCGTCCATCAGTGCGACCAAAGCAGTTTCCGTGCTGTAGCCAGATCTGAAGCCAGATTGAAGAGGGTCCAGATAATCCGTTTCATCCAATGTCCGTAGGAGCTGAAGTGCCACCACTTTCTCTACAACCTTCCCCACAAAAGGTAAGTTGGAGACTGGACAAAAGTTCTTTAATTCTGCTGGGTCCAAGTTTGGGTAAAGGGCACGGACCCTGTGTTGAGCTGGGACAAGAGTCCATAAGTCCTTCATCCTGAAGATTGATTTGGGTCTATTATATTATTTCTCCTCTCTCTCTCCCCCCTCCCTCTCCCTCTGTCTCTCTGTTTCTCTCCCCCTTTGTCCCCTTCCCTTCTACAGCAATACTGATAGAAGAGAATATTTGTAGCTCAGTGTTGAACTGAGAGGTCCTTGATGCTCTCTGAGCTTGGTGGTTTTCTTGCAGATGTTTCTTGACCCAACTAGGTAACATCATCAGTGCTAGAAAGTTTGCTCTCTTTTACGTACTAGTGGCTTCCCCTGCTAGTGTTGGTGGGAATGTTCTTGGTACTTCCTGGTTTAGGCTGTTGCTTGCTGTTCGCTTATTTGTCTGAATTGGTAGTTTTGGCTAAATGCTAGAGAATCCTGGCACTCAAACAAATCAACCAGTTCAAATCAGGCTCATAGAGATAACAAAATCTACAAACCATTAAAAAACAGCAATGAAAAAAGCCCAAAAGGAAGCAAAAAGACTAAAACACCTCATCAGCAATCAGTACCCAGGTGAGCAGAGGGTAACACCAAGACTAACATTACACCAACAGACAAAAAGTAAACAATACTCGAATCAAGGAACTACCAATTCAGACAAATAATCAAACAGTAAACATCAGCCTCTTCAAGGAACCCTCAAGAAAAACCCCAGCAACACTGACAGGGCAAGTCACTAGTATATAAGAGAGGGCAACCCCCACTCCCTTCTGGCCCTGATGATGTTACTTACTTGGGTCATGAAATATCTGCAAGAAAACCACCCAGCTCAGAGAGCACCAAGTATCTACACCAGTATCCCACTGTTGATAAACTAAGTGTTTGATGAGACAGATACCACGTTGAGCAACACAGCAACAATCAGTCATGGCCACAAAACCAACACAAGCAGACCTTGGTCAGATTCCTGGTTAGAGTCCCTTTTTGCAAGAGATTTAGCGGCTTGCTAACTGGAGGATAATGCCCGTGATACAGTTCTTGCACAATCATTGAACTGAATCCTTACTAATAGGGAGAAGTCAAGAATGGGAGGGGGCTCCTTGCAGCTGGAAGGAACCCTTCGGCCCCCATTGCAAAGTCTGTGTCTGGAACTTGCATGAGGAGGACCTGTTCTTGCTTTAGGTGAGCTCCACTCTTGCCTTTCAACGGGACCTCCCTCGTTCCCAGCTCTAAAACTGTAGGCTTCCCCTTAGGGCAGGAGCTGTGGAGCCCATCCCAAGAACTACATAAAACAATCCAGCCAAAGTTAAATTCTTTATTTGCTTATGCCCAATCGACGGAATCTTGCCAGACTAAACCCGTGCTAATCTCAAATCACTGGATATATCCTAGGAGATTCTAGGTAGTGGCTATTCTGACTCTCTTCCTATATCTCCAATCCAGCTCTAGGCTGTTCTGCCTCTTGTTTGCCCCCCCCCCCCCCCCTCCTTGGCATTTGCTTCCTTGGAAACTGCTGCTTCACTGTAGTCCATTACACCAGCTCCCCCTTCGCAGGCATCATTCACCACAGTTACTTTTCCTACATATTTACTGCAAATATTTTCCGTTTTGAATTGGCTTGAGTTCTGCTACCCAACAAGCTACTATTTCGCCCTTGTAGACTCCTTGGGCAGCTGAGTTTCCTTAAGCAGCCAGGGTCAAAGTCTTACATCCCTGTGTTCAATTCCCTCAGTTAATGTCTGTGACAAAGCCATAACAGATCAGTGGGTGTCACTTCCTCTGGAGGGGACCACGGGAAGCTTCTGCCTCACCTCCCTTCCACTAGTCGATGGAGAAGTCATTTCACGGAGTGTCTCCCAACGGGACGCCCTTGAGAAAGAATTCGGAGCACCCGTGTCCGTATCTCTCTGGTCCTCACTCCGTAGATGACCGGGTTGAGCATTGGGGGTAGAATGACGTAGAGGTTGGCAATGAGGATGTGGGCAAAATGGGGAATGTTGTGTCCAAAGCGGTGGGTGAGGAAGGAGAATAAAGCTGGTGTGTAGAAGACAAAAATCACAGCAATGTGGGAGCTGCAGGTGCTCAAGGATTTGAGCCGGGCCTCCTTGGAGGAAAGCCGGAAAACAGCCTGCAGGATCTTCGCGTAGGAAGCGGCGATCAGGATCAACTCCAGCACAAGAAAGGAAGCAACCCAAAGGCCATAGAAAACATTGACACGGATGTCTGTGCAGGCCAGCTTGGCGATACCCATGTGCTCGCAGTAGGTATGGGGCATGTTGATGTGGGCACTGCAGAAAGGCAGGCATTTCGACATTACAGTCATCGGAAATATCAGACAGGCTGGCTTTAGAGTTATGCCCAGGCATATCCAAATCACAGTGGCTTGTGTGAGGATAGTGGAGTATCTCAGTGGGTCACAAATGGCCACGTACCTGTCGAAGGCCATGGCCAGGAGCACCATGGATTCCATCCCCGTGAAGGTGTGGATGAAGAACATCTGGGCCAGGCAGGCGTCAAACGTGATCTCCCCCAGGCCAAACCAGAAGATGGCCAGCATCTTGGGCAGGGTGGAGATGGAGAGGCCCAAGTCGACGAAGGAGAGCAGGCAGAGGAAGTAGAACATGGGCTGGTGGAGGCTGGCCTCGGTCTTCACAACGGAGAGGATGGTGAAGTTCCCCAGAAGAGCAATGAGGAACCCAGCACAAAAAGGGATGGAGAGCCAGCCATGTGCCTCCTCCAGCCCTGGGACACCCAGCAGGACAAAGACGGGAGAGTAGAAGTGGGTGCTGTTGGAGGGCCACATCCTTTCATTGGGGGGGGGGGTGTTAGGTGTGGTTCCCTCCTACCGGCCACACAGTCTCTGCCTCCAATAGCTGCACAGTCGCCAGTCAATCAGCAAAGAGTCCTGGCAGCTGTGAGAACTGCTGGCCAGGAAAGTCTTGAGTGGTCAAGGAGTCCAGATCTTCACTGGGAACTGCTGCAGAGATGCAGGCAGAATGGCTAGGGAGGGGCGTGCAGGAAGAGAAGCAAGAGGCGACTAGGAGGCTGAGCGTCTTCCTTCGAGAATGGGTGGCATTTATGGCCCCTCCTGAAAGAGCCCAGAAGTCCCATCCTGGCCAGGGTCTCAAGGGCCCGTAGACTAATTACGGCCTGGCCTCCTTTGCCCCAAATGGTCCCTGATCGTCTGGAGAGGAACAGCAGCCTGCCTTCTAGGCAAACAAGGCAGGGAGTTCTGGCAACCTGCCCTGACCCAAACAAGGGGGGCTATGGGGAGAGCGGCTTAGGCCCCAACAGCCGATTGCATGGCCAAGGTTAAGACTGACCGAGCTTAGCGGGGTCAAATGATCTGCCCAGGGCCTCCTGCAAGCATCCAAAGCATTCAGAGCCCCAGGTAATCCAGTGATCAAAGACCACCCACCAGTCACCCTCGTGGGAGAATCGCCCCCTGCCCAGAAGCTCTCCCAAGCAGCCGGGCCTTAACCCCCAGATGGAGAGCTCTGCATCTGGAGGGCCGACCCTGCAAGTGGGGGAAGGCTGCGGCTTCCAGGGTGTTTTCTTCCCTTCGGTTTGTGCCTGTTTGCTAAGGGCAAGGTAGCCTCCTTGAGGGGGGGGACATTCACTGAAAGCCCCTGGGCCACCTTGCACAGGGCATCCTTCCCCCAGAGCCCCGATGGGGAAGGGGTTAAAGGACAGATAGTCTTCAATTTATGACCACAACTGAGCTCAAAACCTCTGTTGCTAAGGGTGCATTTTGCCCCATTTTATAATTTTCCTTGCCACAGTTGTTAAGTGAGTCACTGCAGGTGTTAAATTAATAATATAGTTTTTAAGCAAGGCTGGTTCCCCATTGGCTTCGCTGGTCAGAGGGTCACAAAAGGGGATCAAATGACCCCCAGGACACTGGGACCGTCATAAATATGAACCAGCTGCCAAGCGGCTGAGCTTTGATCACCTGACCTTGGGGATACCATCATGGTTGTAAGTGTGAATGCTGTTATAACATCGAACGGTCATTAAATGAACCGTTGTAAGTCAAGGACTGTCAGAAGTCAAGGAGGCAAACCCTGCCCACAGCCTGGAGAAGCCTCCAGGTTGACTCAGCCTTCCGTCCTTCCGAGGTGGGTCAAGTGAGGACCCAGATTGTTGGGGGCCAGAAGAGGCTGACTCTGTAAGGCGCTTAGAGAGGGCTGTAAAAGCAGCAGGTGAGCCTGCTGTCGTCTTGCCTTGCACACCCAGAAAGTGAGAGCCAGGAAGGCTGCTTCACAAAGAGAGGAGTGGCAGGAAGTCAGTGGCAGGTCGGTGGCCTAGGATGGGCAGGTTTTGGGGCCTGGAGAGTTGGCAAGGTGGAGATGGGAGACTGGATTGCCCCGACAGCCACACCCTTACCCATCAAGGAGAATCTTTGTAGATGAGGGAGTCCTTGGTGCTCTCTGAGCTTGGTGGTTTTCTTGCAGGCGTTTCATGACCCAACTAGGGAACATTATCACTACCGGTAGCACTGAGGATATTACCTAGTTTGGCTAATGAAAGGTCTGCAAGAAAAGAACCAAACTCAGCTAGTCACAGCCTTGCAAGCCTAAGTGGAGAAGAGGAGGCCTGAGTGGCCGCTCAAGCTGAGGGCTTCCAGGGGCCTCCAGGTGGTGGGATGGGTTTCTGCCAGGGTAGATGCCCGGGGTGCCAGCCTAGGCATTCTTCTCCCTTGTCTATCTCTTCCAAGCCCCTCCCGGCTGAAGCACAGGTGCACGACTGGTAATGTGAAGCTACCTTCCCGTTTCAGTTTTTCTGATTGGTTTTATGCTGGCCATATTTTTGTATTTGGGGTTTGTGGGTTAATGGAGAGTGTGTTTTTAATGGCTGCTTAGTTTGTAGTTTTTGTTTCTTATAAACTCCATGAACTGTGCAATATGTAAGTACATATATACGTACACCATATACATGGTGTCATGACTTCTTTTCCCCAATTAGACTGACCCAGGCTCAGGAGAATCACAAAGACACCGGACTCTGAACAGATGATTCTTTTAATGGAACTTGTTCTCTTCTATAGCATCATCTAGTTATTCTATTATAGCAGATCTTTAAAATTATTTTCAGAGTTCAAAAGTCATAACGGATCCATTAATTTAGTTTTTTTCCTCTAGTGACCTACCTTCAAAGTCTTCATAACATTCTTTTTCCAGATGTAAACATAAAAAGATTCCCAGGGAAGGATTCTTTTCATGAAGGGTTCATTTGGACCCTTAATCAGCTTTAAACTTTCTAAAAACAGCACCGTAATCACCCTTTGGCTGTATATTCCACTCCCTCCAATTTTTCTGCAACACAATAAAGTCATAATTAAACTTTCTTTCCCAAAGGTTTGAAGAAAAACATATTAGGTGAATATGATCCAATGTGCGGTTCTAAAGGTTCTCAATTTTTAAAAAGGCAAAGGAAAAAAAGTAAAATATAAAATGATTTAAGAAGTGGGGTTTGAGCAAATTTTGATTTCCAGAAGGCTACATTGAGGGCTATGAACCCTGCAATCCCAGCTGTTTGCAAGCTCACCGCAAAAAATGTTGGTTTCTGCCATCCTCTCACAGGAAACAGTTGTGCAGAGTTTATATGGGCAATCTGAAGATATCTCCTTTCTCCAGAGAGATTTTGGCAGTCCAGATCCAGCATCCAGCTGCTGTTTTCAGCTGTAATGTCTCCCACAGTTTGTGGGAATGTCAGTTTGCCACTGAATGCCCAGTTTATTCACTGGACTGGAAATATTTTGGTGGGGCCGAACTACAGTTGACCCTTCTCACCGACCCTTCCTCCTGTTCTGATCTGAGAGGGACATGACCCATCTGGATTTGACATAAGCCTTGAATGGAGCCAGAAAAGAGTAAATGGTGCAGCAACGGATCGGATCGCAAAAAGAAAAACATAAAATTCAGTTAAAAAAAAAATCCTTAACCACATGCCCTTGCTGCTCATGAGCGATAAGAAAGACATTTTCTGTGCAAAATCAGGCTAATTGAAATATTCTTCCCAGATATTCCTGTCAAGGCTACAGAAGGAATGGCCTAGGAGTCGCTCAGGATGCTGAGATGGGCAACACATAAATTTTATAAGGCCCCTTTTTCTTAAATGTTGTTGGCGATACTCTAAAATCTATGCTTCTCTGCCCCTTAAAAATCCACTTTGAAAAGGGAAACAACAGGAGAGAGGGGAAGGAGTAGAGCGAGAGGAAGGAAGAAGAAGAGAGGAGAAAGAAGAAAGGGGAAAGGAGAGGAAGAAAAGGGAGGGGAAAGAGGAGCAAAGGAGAAGGTTAGAAGGAGGGAAGAAGAGAGGAGTTGGGGAAGAGAAAGGGAAGTAGGAAAGAAGGAGAGGAAGAACGAAGGAAGTAGGAGGAGAAAGAGGAAGGAAGAGACGGGAGGAGAAGAGGAAAGGTTGGAGTAAAGGTAAAGGGTAAAAGAGCAGTCCCGAAAAATGAAAAATGAAAGTAATGAATGAAAAATGATGGAAATGACTGTACATGTAAATGTGTTATGAGAAATAAAAATATTTTTTTAAAAAATTGCTTTATGAAATGCTATGAAATCCAGCTTTCATCATTTGAATTAGTTGATGAACCTTTTCTTCTTCAATAAAGACAAGATCTTTGATTAAATGTTATAATTTATGTACTTTAATAAGGAGCCCTGGTGGCCCAGTGGTTAGAGTGCAACATTGCAGGCTGACTCTGCCCACAGCCTGGAGTTTGATCCTGACTGGCTCAAGGTTGACTCAGCTTTCCATCCTTCCCAAGCCAGTAAAATGAGGACCCAGGTTGTTGGGGGCCATAGGATGACTCTGTGAACCGCTCAGAGAGGGCTGTGAAGTGGTATCTTAAGTCTAGGTGCTCTTGCTATTAATGCTCCACTGCTATGGGTTAAGGCTGTAGGCAACTGGTGTTCAGCAAACTCTGACATAAAGTAGGTAGGTAGGGGTGTGTGCATGTGTGTTGGGCTGATTCCCCTTGTTATCATTGTGGTGCTGATATGCAAACCATTAAGCATATTGTGGAAGACTGCCCACAACGTGCATGGGGTGGTTCCCTAGAAGATCTGCATGAAGCAATGCCAGAGGTCATCACCTGGGCAGCTGGACTGGACATCCAGGTATGGAGCCACTGCCGTCCCCCTTGAGATGTTTCGTATATCATTACGTGCATTGCATGTGTTTGCTTCTCTCCTCTCATGTGCTCACCATATGTTTCATATGTGTGCGTCTGTCTGTGTATGTATATATGTATGTATATATACACATACATATGTATCTATAGGTACTATATAAATAAATACACACACACACACACTATGTACGTACGTACATATTACATTATATACATAATTTATAAAATGTATTGGCTGCCCATCTTACCATAGGGTAACTCTGGGCAGCTTATGGTTTTATATATACAGTTAAAAACATAAAGAGATATTAAAGCCATATATATATTATATATATATGTGTGTGTGTGTGGTTTTGCCCTCTCTTTATATTTTTATATATCTGTGTTTTTCATGTGCACCCCAACCATCAGGAAGTGTGAGTCCAGAGCCCCCTTCCGGAGCTGAACAAGCGCAGGATTCTTTTCCGGATCTCCCTGGTCCTCACGCCGTAGATGACCGGGTTGAGCATCGGGGGCAGAATGACGTAGAGGTTGGCGATGAGGATGTGGCCGAAGAGGGGGATGTTGTGTCCAAAGCGGTGGGTGAGGAAGGAGAAGAAGGCTGGTGTGTAGAAGACAAAAATCACGGCGACATGGGAGCTGCAGGTGCCCAAGGATTT